AGAGCCGCAAATAAAATTTGAATGAGAAGCGCGTTTGATGAAGATGATTTGTTTTGACAAGTGTCAGGATTTTCGGCTCACAATATTATTACGATACTTGGATTGTAGTTGCCAGCGAGTTGTTGCTGTTGTTGTTCCTGTTGTTGTTGCTGTTGCTCTCGTTCATTTTGAGTTGTCAGAAAAGTGTCAGAATCGCGGAATTTTGACAACAAGCACGCGGACTCTCATCTTAAATGAACTCATCCCTCCAATTTTAATTTTGTGAGTCCCAAAAACAAGCAAATAAATGAACACAAGTCCCACAAAAATACATCAAGAGAAGAAAATTCGGTTGAACAAAATTAGTTGATTTGTTTGGTTGCGTTTGGGTATTTGAGTAAACAGCGAATTCCATAATGTTTTCAATTAATAACAATTGCCATTGATGCGAGAGGAAATCTTCGAAAAAAGGGGTCGATGCTTCTATATACATATATACTCTTCAGCACTTGCTTTGAATTACTTTAAGAGTCCCCTTCTGTTGATAAGCCTAACAATTCCCCTCGAGATTGTTATTTACCAGAGAAGTCATAACAATTAGTAGGCATTTTTCAGGCGAGGATCGAAGTGATCAGGGATAAACAAGGTGGATCTGGACTGGAAATGAATATTAAAACACTGCATGCAGTAAATGAGGAAAAGATATAGGTATTGATAGGTATTTATTTAAAAAGGAAATTGGCCAAAGTTGATAACGAAAATTGCGCATACGCCATGTGCTCACCGCCGTTGGCGGAAGTGATTGGTTTAACGACTTCCGAGTAATCCCACACACTACTTATAGACTTATAGACTTTTAGGCTACGTATCTCATATCAAGTACACGATGATCACTAAAACTAGAACTTTGATCGGCCAATTACACTCGGTCTTCACAAAATAACTGCGAAGATAAAAGGGGCTTGGTTATCGGCAGTCGGGCATAAAAACCCCATTAAACGTCATCGCATCACGCTCTACCGATCCACGATCCACGATCTCCTCCCCTCCGCCATAAATCTAAAGCACTTTTGATTAGGCCAATCCCCGAAATAAAAGCTGGGCCCAGCGGCACGTCCCCGGCTGATAAGTCTTCCTGTTTTTTGGCACTGCCTTACATCAATCTAACCTACGTTTATGTGGCCACCATACGAAATGGCGAAACGTTCTAGATGTGCGCGCACGGGCACGTAATTGAATGCGAATCACTTAATTTTATATGGATTTCTATTCATTTTTATGGCCCGACCGCAATTATACAATACATTAAGGCCGCATTAACATTTCCGGTCGGCCGAAACAGTGGTTATTACAAGAAGCACACACACGTGTTTCTTTCCGAAAGCCGAAAGCAAAAGCGGCGCTGAACTTAAAACCCAAAACCCAAAACTCAAAAGCGGTGAAAAGTTCGTTAGCACCACCCCCCTGATCCCCATTAAGGAAACTCGTTTCGTTCCGTGGATTGTGCGCCGCACTTTGTGGGCTTGGGGGAAATTTCCACTCATTTTCGGATTTTCGGAGATTCAGATTTATTGGTTTTGGAAAACTTTCGTGCGAAACTGCAGCTTCCGAAAGTGTAGCTGTTAGGTACCTGTGAATCCGAGAGATGTATCTTTTGTATCTGCGCAGCACACACGCATGCGCCGAGTGCGTCGTCATCATCGGCTTGAATTTCAGCTGCCAGCTGTTGCCATGCGCACAAGCACATTGGCATTCCTCGCCTTGGTCCCATTTGGGGATACCCTTTGATGACCGGCAGGATATGTGACACATTCCCAAGGGAGCTCTCCACTCTCCAAGCTTTTGATGATCAACTACGTACAATATGGAAAACATTGCTAGTAAGTAGTTAATCGAAAACCCTCAAGAGCCATGTGTAGTGTATCCCAAGTTTGGCGAGGTCTGGCCAAAGTTTCTTTAGGTTTCCCCCATTGTTCGGCTCGCCGTGGTCTTCCCCTAATGATCCGCTTCAGTTGGCTCCCCTATATACTGTGTACTGTATACTGAATACCATATACTATATACCATATATGTACTATATACTATGTTCGCTCTTAATGTCTCGTTTCCTTGCCTTTTCCTTTCGCCGGGATCTTTACCCTTCATATATGTATATAAATACATGTACGCTGGGATTCATTCAACTTTGACGCTCTGAATTTTGTGTGTTGTTGCTAACTCTGATGAGTACGAGTATGAATGAATCGTATTCCGCTACTTGATGATGATGATTATCAAATGGGCAGTGATGATGATGCAGTTGCCGAGTTCGGTGGCCACAAAAATAGAATGCATTTCCGTTTTGGCAAGGTGGCGAGACCTTTGCACACAAGAAAGGGGTGAGGCGGGATATTGGGGGAGGGGAGGGGAGGGGGAGGGGAGGGGTACAGTGGGCCTAGGGTGATTGCACACACGTGCCCACAACGATCTCAACGATCCCCACGAACTTGTCGCATTTATCTTTATAAGTCTCTCCCAAACTGGTTTTACGCAGCATTATCATTCCGACTTCGACTCCGACTTCGATTTCGATTTGGGTTCGACTTGAGTTCGGATACCGCGAATCATCGCGATTCAGTGCGGCGCCTCTATAAATCACACGCCCCAATCGACGGCGGAGAGGGGGGCGTGGTCGCCAGCGAATTTCACGAGTTTTGCATTCGCCAAATTGATATTAGCAAGAAGTAGCAACAATTTGCCCGACAATTTCAGGAGGTTCTCCCACTCTCTTCTTGAAAACGCACTGAAAGAAATACTGAGACCTCCATCGATGATTCCAATGATTTAACCATTATTATTATTATTCGATCATTGACAAAAATCAAAATGTGTAAACATCCCATATATGTGGATATACTCGCACCTTTCCTGTGAATATCAAGTCGGTTTTTATGTGGCGTGTATGGTAAGCAGTTTAATCACTCGCTTTTTTTTTCTGGTGTGGTGGGTGGTGGTGGAGGGGGGAGGGGCGCGGAGGGAGGGGGTGTCTTCTAAGGGGCGGGGCAGGCGGTACGCACATGGAGCGGCGCTAGGCACGAACTGGTACCTGTTTCTCGCAGTCATCATTTCGACTGTCTTCTGCTCGTCTTATGATTTTTTCTGACGGACTTTTTTGTTTTACTCTTCTACAAATTTATTTTATTATTTTTGTTTTTGCTTCGAAGGCGAGCGATTTCGCTTGCTGTTTGCTGTTTGCTGTTTGCTGTTGTTTTGCGGGCTCATTCCCCGCCATAAACAGCGAATTGTCGAAATTCCAAGATCCATTTATGATGGCCCAGTGAAAGCGAACCAGATGATGAACTCTGCGTTTATGTGCTCGCTGGCTAAAAATACGGGCAAAGTTCTTATTGAGTGCTAAAATTCACACGCAAACATGAAAGACTTTGCGAATGAAACAAAAATAATTATTTAGAATAGATGCCAAATATTTCAGATAACATTTCAGTAAACAGTTTACTAATAAAAACCATAAAAAAAACCTTTAAGATGAAAGCGAAACGAACTGCTCTTATTATTTCAAGTTGAACTCCAAACAAGTTGCTCTATTTGCCGGCTTCTCACTATATGCATACTTCTAGATATTTGTCAACTTAAACTGGATTAGTGGCATTACTATATCCCATATGTATCTCTAACTACTTGCACGGAGTACGGAGAATCATGGGATCACGTGGCCCTGTAGAATTATGTTCTCCGGGCATTGGGCACCTTGTCAGTTGACGTAGTTGCTGTGGAATATTATTAATAAACATGTTATCGGAACAGTTCAAGTCACTTTCAAAACAAACAAAACATTTGCACAAAAGTATCAAAATTTTTGCCGTTTGTTTCGCTTCGTTTTGTCTTTGGTGAACGCGCCACACTACCACGCAAAATCGAATCGAACCGGGCTAAATTTTCCAGACCGTTGAAGAGCGGGGAAAAGCGCAAAAATTGCACAGATCAATGAGGAGGTTCCATCAGCATCAGGGACAGAGGTTCGGCTAAGTTCTTCCAGATATGCGACATCAGATACAGATACAGATAGAGATGCAGATGCAGATGCAGATGCAGATACAGATACTCGTTTGTTTTGTATTGGCAGGGCAGAGAACTTCGGATATCTTCGAAGTTTGACTACCCTGGCAGTAGGTAGATGAGGTCTAAGGCGGCACAACACCTTCTGCGAGGGTAAAAGACATACACCAACACACCCACACACCCACACACGCACACTCCACCCCGAGTAGCAGCTCATGCGGATGGATACGCCTTATCTAAGTAGGAAGCTCGGGGCTAGGGGCACGTGGTCAGAAGGTGGTCGAAAGCCCCACAAACACAATGTGACTTGGCCTAGGTTTAGCACACATTCGGCGAAAGAGAGGGCACCACAGATATAGAGGGAGAAAGAGTATGATAAAGAGAAAGAGAAAGAGAAAGAGCACAGCTCGATGATGATGAGTTCGCCGTATTCCCGCTTTATCAGCGGTGAGTCACTCGCCACTCTGCACTGTACTGTTCACCGCGTATGGTGTACGGTATTGTATACTGTATTGTATACTGTACGGTGTACTGTGTCGTCATCGAATGTGAATTGTGAATGGCGAGCGCTCTGTCTCTGGGGTTTTTTCGATTCGCTGTGTCGCCTTTTTGCTTTCTTGGCGCCCAGCTTTTGTTTATATCGCGGCTGCTCGCTAATCGCGCCATTTAGTCGGCTCCCAGCTGCAAGTGCAGGCGGTTTCACCAGCTACTAAGGTCCACCCACCCAGAACACAGAACACACGTTCACAAAGCACAAGCTACGATCAAAACCAAAAAACCTGAAACTAATTCGAACGCGTTTATGTCTGCAGCGCGGCGATGCATTTCTTTCTCGAAGATATCTTGCAAGTACTTAAGATTTGTAAGTTTGCGATGCGACTTGCATTCGATAGCACTTGTTATCACAATATACATTTACCCGACTTCGAAGTGAGTACTAAGCTTTGGCCTGCTCTTTCCAGATGACAAAATGCAGCGTTGCAACCAGAACAGCGGCAATAGCAACAGCAACACGACCAGCAACTCCAACAACAGCAGCAGCAGCAGCAGCAACAAGCGCTGCCCTCAGAAGTACAACGGCAACAACCTAGCACCCGGCAGTGGCATGGTGGGCTACCAGCAACATGCAACAGCAACATTGCAGCACGGCGGCAAGCACTCCGCTCGCAAGAGTCGCTACAACAGCAACAAGCAGCAGCAGCAGCAGCAACACCAGCAACACCAGCAACAGCAGCAACAGCAACATCAGCAATCAGCCGGCTTCGGGAATATCCAGAAGCGAAATGGAATCGCCGGAATGGGCGGAAGTGAGATCTCCCCCTCGCCACCCACTTCTACCTGGCTGGAGCGGGGCTACGGACATCGGTTGGCCAATTCTTCATGCATGGAAGGTAAGTTCTGTTACAAAGTATACAAAAGTATTCAGGGGTTAGCTAAGCAGGGATAATGGTGCCCGGAAAGAGATAAGACAGGATGAAATCCGAAATCCAAAACAGTTCTAAGAAATCAAAACAACTCAGGCAGGGTGTTTACATGCTTAGTGTGCCACCAAGTTGGTAAACAGCGACTATTAATCAGCCGATTCGGCGATTATACAAATCGTGTGAATCGTGTGAATCACTTAACCAGCACTTCTTGCCACTGAGCTCTTGTAACGAATTTCGACGGTTCTGCGCGGTTTTAGTCAGTGTTACACCCACATTCATAGCATTTCTCGGATCATGGGTACCGGAACAAAGACTAAAGACTGAAGACGGCGGGCCCCGCAAACGCTGATTCACGGTTTCGCTTTGTTTTTAATAAAATTCCAAGCAAATCGGCCGGCATCTAAAGTGAATCATATGCCCGGCCACCAAATCAACGTCATCGCCGTTAACGGCAATGAAAACGCAAACGGGAATGGGAACGGGAATTTGGATCGAATCGGATAGGATCGGGAATATTGAGAGCGTCATCGCTGCCAAACGGGAACAGATACAAATACAGATACATTTACAGATACAGATACAGATGCAGATACAGATACAGATACAGCTTCGATCCATGAGTGTATTTCTGGGTCAGTGGGTGGATGGGCGGCGAATCCGACATTAATTACGGAAGTGTCTCGGCATTGGAAAGGCCTTTTCAGCAGCACACCGGCGGTCATAAGAACGAGTACACATTCTCGGAACTATTAAGAAATTCCGAAAACAGTTTATCAGAATAATTCTCTAAGCTTGTCTACAGATCGCCAAATGTTTTCTAGGTAATATAAAACAAGTAGGTTCTTGCAGTATGGAAGCAATTTAATCAAAACATTATCCAGGAATTTGTTTCGGTGTACGAGTGTTGAGCAGTGAGTACGCAACTGTTCTACTGACAGCTCATCAAAACAAATATTTGTGGGGGAGCGTATATCAAACCCAAGTGTTTTACTACCCTAAATTTTCCGTATTGCGTTGCGACGCTAACTTATATAAAGCCCCGATCACTCGACGGGTGGAAAGCCCACTCAAACGTACGGGGCGTATCTATTTATGGTATCGGGGAGAAGCCCTTATCAAACTGGGTCTATCTATAAGTAGCCATTCGATGGGGGTAAAACCTCGCTCGCCAGCACTTCAATTAACTATCCGCGATATCCGAGCACTTCAAGGGTAACAATATATTGTAGTTTCTGACTTTTCTGACTGTCACTGTCCACTAGAGACACCGGCTTTGTGCGCAAATAAGAAAATTGCAGGAAATCTTCGCTTAAGCTTAATAGGAACCTTGTATCGGAACAATTCAAGTGGGATCCATGAGCACATATGTACATATACCATATATATTCGTAGACTCGGGCTCGCCGACACTCATTCTTTTCCCCTGGCTTTCGCTTTCGCTTTCGTTCGCATTAAAAATCAATTATAGTTGAGCGAATCAACGAAAACAAAAGCAAATTAAATAAACAAACAACATCTTCTCCCCGAGAAAGGCAGCCCAAATGGGTAGTAAAGCCATCAGCAGACCACAATAAAAATTCAAATTCTTTGCACAATTCTATAATTTATGCGCCGGGGGAATTATATTATAGTATGTGTGGCTTACAAAGGAGCTTTGCTCTGCCAATTCATTGATCGGTTATGATCGGATGTGATTGGGAACGGATTACCCATTATATTTACACCTGACATCACGACCTTCATTTGTTTGCTTATCAGAATGTGTGTGAAGTGAATTATTACTTCTTGAATTCTTTTCTTAAACGAAGTTTTCTTTATTTCCCCAAAAATAAATATAATCCCTTTCCCTTTTCGCTTACATTCTGCGTTTATTATTGTTTGTTTTTTATTGCCGCGGCAGAATTTTCCATTGGATTTTTTTGGACATTAATCAAGCAAAACTTTCCAGAATCGGGTCTTATTCTCTGTTGCTGGACTAATAAACGTGTATTCGCCATGTGGGAAAGCTAAGGCGCAATTTCTAAGGGGCAACTGATTATAGTCCAGATTTTTCAGCTCTCGTTCTGCTGGCGCCTCTTAACCATTTGTATTTGCTATTTGTGTTTGCCTTTTCTGCCGTATCAGGTGTATTATTAGTCTTAGTATCAGTCGACGATCGATTTTGGTCAAACGATGAACTGATAATCGACGTGTACCCGAGCCAAGTGTACAAATGTTTTGCGGGCACTCGTTACATAAGCGGTCGTTCTGTCATTGATTAGCACTTGGCTGGAAAAGGTAGAGGTGGTCGAGAACCGAGTTCCGAGATCACCGGGATTGCACAAGCGAAATTTGCACCGCTGCGTTAAGTGCCAAAAAGCGTACTTCGTTTTCTTCCGTAAGTGATTTGTATACATAATTAGAGCCACAATCTTCGGAAGGGCAACTTGACAAACGGACAAATGGACAAACGGACAACCGGACAGCAAACAGGCAAACGGAGAAGCGGACAAAGGGACATACGGACATATGGACAAACGGACAACCAGACAACCGGACAAATGGACAAACGGACAAAAGGACAACCAGACAAACGGACAACCAGATAACCGGACAAATGGACAAACGGACAAATGGACAAACGGACAACCGTACATCCAAACCAGCGAGCCAATCATTACTCAATTAAAGTTTGATGCCCAAAGTTGGACACTTGGCCTCCTTGTTGGCCAAGCACTCCTTAGACAATTGTGTTTGTTTTTGTGGGACGGCATTTGGCGAATGCGCTTTTCACGCCCCACTGAATCGCACTCGGATCGGATCGGATTGAGCCCATATATAGTATTTATTCCGAGCCGCGACTCTTCGCCTTTCTCCGCCGATTGTCTCTTTGTCTTTTTGTGGGCCAGCTGCGATTCATTTTCGCCACCTTAGTACGCATTCACCTAGTTTTAATCGGATAAATAGGACTTCAGGTTGTCATTGGAACCAAAGACACGACAACTCAAATGTGGTTAAAAAGAGCAAGGGTTATACCGTCATGATGCCCACGGTACTTCGTACACTGAACTGAATTGAGGGCCTGTTCGCATAATTAACCCATTAAAGACCGCAATTCTTGTATAACAATCGTAAAATGTGCTCGCAGTTGCGTTTATTGTTGCTCGGCCTGATCTTCAAATCTTAGTTAGTGGCCACCAGCCTCATCGCCACTCGCATTTCTTCGCCGATCTGCTTAATAGTTCCCAACGCTTCTCCACTTAACCCTCGCTCCCCACTCCGCCGTCTGTGATTTGCCCCGCCGGCAATAGTCAAGGTTAACGTGTTCGCCGTTTGAGCACCGGGCGTTTACCCAATGTCTAAGTCCCCGTCCCGCCTGCTACGCCATTCAATCCGATCCAATCCGATCCAATCCGATCGGATCCGATCCGATTATGATCCCATCCAGAGCTTGCCTAGATCTCCGCACAGTGGGACTTATATCATTACAGGGGAGTAGGTAGAGATGGATAACGATTATGGGGAACTAAGAGAAGAACTTCGGAAACGTAAGCCCTGCTAAAACACAACTTGATATTAAGCTTAAACTAAGCAGACCCCATATAGTTATTCTTAGAAGTTTTATCGCAGGGTAAATATTTTCGCACGGATGTACGTTGCTTTTGGAATACTCCCTATGGGCACATAAAGATATAAAGATTGTTAATCGGGCTATTTCGAAATAGGAAGAAGCCCGATAAGGCGAATTTACGATCCTGGGCTTGCAGAGTGGGGCAAAAACAGCAGATCACTCGCCAGGTGTTGTCTAATTTGGCACACCACTGTGTGTACTGTGTGTTCTGTGTGTACTGAGTGTACTGTGTGTACTGTGTGTGCTGTGGGTACTGAGTGTACTGTGTGTACCATATGAACACACTCGATTGGATTGCCTGTCCGCTTTTTGCGGCTCGCAGCCTGTGTTTTCGGCTTGGAAATTATTAAATCTGTGTGCCCCTTCTGCTGACCTCAATGGCCGCATTTTGCATACGCATATGGCAGCCGTATACTATATAGCATAGCATACTATATATGTTTGATTAATAAAACTCATATTACACTGCGAGCTGTGCCAAAACTTTGGACCTGCGAGGGGATGTTGTGACATACGTGAGCGTGTTGAGTTCGGCCACAATTAACTACCGCGATGATGTTTAACGAGTATGATAGTTATTGTTATTGCTTTTGCTACTGCTACTGCTACTGCTATTGCTTTTTTCCCTTTTTTTCGCTCTGCTGAAAGCCAAGTTTTCGGGCCTCATTAAAAATGCACAAGCCAATTGCGAGACGGGCAATTTTGTTCGTTGTCGCCGCACAGGAAGCGCCGCACTCGGCCGAAGGTCGTTTTTAAGTCGAGGAAAAATGTGTGCTGAGTACCTGGATGCTGGCTAGATTCCATACAAATGTAAATATTTGTATATATAGATAGGTAGATAGATGGGCACCTATGACGAGCTCCAACATCGATTGCGTCACTGGCGATTGGATTGCTGGATTGATACTGCCAGTGCATATCTAGCGACTTATCTCGACAGCTGACTGCGGGGCGATAACTAATTAAATGGCAAGGCGTTGCCTGCCTGGCCAAAAGCAATTGGTATTTCGCCAAGATGAGTAAACCGATTGCTGACGAGCTGATTTACGACTCTCCGAGCTGATTGACCGCCGAGCTAGAGGCTATCTCCGCCCAACAGCTGTTGAATCTATCTTCTATCTGCTATCCCCCCGAATCGATTTGGTTTCGCTCCGCTCCGATTCACTTCTGTATTTTTTGGGATTGCCGCATCTGAGGGCTGATTAGAATGGCGAGTGTAGAATGGCGACTTCGGCACTCGACCGCACTCGCAATCAGAATCGCAATCAGAGTCGCAATCACAGGTGCGGAGACAACCGACAACCGACAACCGACAATCACAATCACAAGCCAGTGGAACTCGGGGGACTGGGACTTGGGGCACTGTTGCCGTAGGTAACTGCTAGGAAATTGGTCAGTCGGGAGTACGGGACACGCACAGCGCACATCTTATCGCCGCCCAGTAACCGAATGTGGGTGGCCTTCGGTCTGGAATCGGAGGAAGTGAGCAACCGTGAGTACCGGAGGAACCCCAATCAGCCAGCACATGGCGGGAGGTGGGACTGTAGATCACCATGAGCCCAGCAGCCAGAGATCGATTTCAGAGATACTATATGGTATATAGTATGGCATGGTATATAACATAGGTAATCCCGATTATCCAACACACAGCATTCACCCGCACTCGCATTCGCGTGCCGCAATGCCCGTAATGCGACGGGATAATTTGGCAGGCACTTAGTTTTAGTTTAAGTTTTAGTTTCAGTTTCAGTTTCGGTTTCCAGTCTCCTCCAGTCGTGTTTTACAGCACGAGCCTCTTTTTACAATGCACGCCTTATACGCTATCATTATCATCTGTCAGCCCCGACACGCTAGTCCCACCTACTTCACCCAAACACATATCTAATCTGGGCTCCAGGGTTAAGGTCTGCTGATGGGGAGATGAAGTGCCCTTGGGAAGTGAGCACTCGAGCGTGCGACACTAATTTATGGGGATCGCCGCTCAGATAAGTTTCGTCTTGTGGCTGTGGCGACAATATATCTTCCCATTATCCCGGAGAAGCATCGATTGTGGGTGCGTTCCTCTGCGATTGTCCAAGGTTGCCTGGGAAGTACGGCGCGTGCGTGGGTCGCTGATAAAGCCGCAGCATAGGAATACGCTTGAGAACAGTGGTTGGTTGGTCCGCTTGGCTTCCGAATGCCAGGCAGATGGCCAAAGCAGTACCAAACTGGCCACGCCTTATCTAATCGCTGACCACGCACTCGCCGATCATGTACCACCCAAAACCATACAGTATACACTCTGCACCACACGCCATATACAACACACTATAGCATACGTGATGGACATACTATACACCACCATGTAAACACCAGCCCGATCCGATCCGATCAGATCCGATCCAGCTGAGCTCATTTCTCCCCGATGATCCCACTGGCTCTTTGGGTGTTTGGGCTCCCAGCTCACGTCTGGGTGCTTAGTGGCCGGTGGCACCGGCGTCCTTCGAGGCGCGGAGTCAACAAACCCACCTCGTCGCCGTATGATTTATCTACGCGCGCTCTGAAACTCAATTTCAGCCCGAGTGGCTGCCACTTTCTGGCCCCAAAACGGCGGCTATTCAATGTGTTCATGTGTGCGAGTGTGTTTGCGAGTGCTTTGCAACTGATGAGGAAGTGCTTGGCGAATTTCTCTACGAGGAAGCGGTGCGGTTGGCCTGTCACAAATAGCGAACAGCGGCTGGGAAACGGCGGAGCCAATGCAAAGTGGCAGATAAGAAAGTGTCGTCGGCACCAGAGGCGTCACAAGTCTCCTTTGAGTGACGGACGATCTTGACGGATCAGGAAGACATACCCAAAGCTACCCATAGATGGTGGATAGATATACTATAGATGTTACGCAAATACGAGGGGCGAGCTCAAGCAGCAGCTCCCCAAAAAAATGATCCAATATTAATATTCATAAGCTTGAGTGGTTCCATTCAGTCATTCGGCTGGACTCTTTGTTTATCCAGTCCAGTGTGATTAATCCCCAGCAGAGAGTGAACCCCGAGAGCTCAGCGTAATCCGTGACAACAGGTCAATCCAGCTGGGACCTGAGCCCCCAATTAGTCCCTCGACGCCCCCTTGCCCCCAAAGGCCCCTCGAAACTTATATTCTGTGCGTTGCCTTAGCGATTAAGTCGAGAACGAGATTCGAAATGATGAGATGAGATGAGATGAGATGAAATGGGAGGGGGGAGGGTGGAATGATGAGCCAAATGCGGAAGCCGCGGCGACATAAAGCGCTTAGTTGGAAGAAGTAATGCTAACAGGTGGCGTATTATGGTCATAATAAATGGCTATAATTGTAATGCGTCAACACTAGCCCCCCTTCACCCCTCCACATCGCCACCCATCCACTTAGCCGCCCAGCAGGCACGCCCGTCGGGTGGCAACAGAGCAGCAGAGCAACAAGCTGAGTCCGCAGAACTCGAGGTAGGAAGGCCCGCACATGCGTCAGTTTCCAGTCGTGCGTAGCCTCCCTAAACCAAGCCACACTGTCAGAAATTACCCGGTCATATGAGCACGTGTGCTCATGAGTGTCTCCACTTAGTAAGCGATTGTCACTCTTGGATTTTCACACGGCACAACTAACAGCTCAAGTGTAGTTTCGGGAAGCGCTCCCCTAGTTTCTCCGAGTGTACTCACTTACGAATCAAGAAGAGGAGGAGAGGGAGAGGTAGAGTGAGAGCGAGAGAGAAATAGTCGAAGCACGTGGGGCTTATTGATAAGCGTGTGTGCCTAAATACCTGCGCTTGTGTGCGAGCGTGTGTTATCAGAAATTCGAGTTAATGCGCGAATATGGGAATGAGTGTTGGGTTTTCCTGCCTGGTGGCCAGTAATTCTCTTTTAGCACACTTAGCAATAGAAATATGTAATATGTATGTATGTAAATAGGAAGCTGTAATAGTAACAGTAAACTAGTGTTGAGTATCGAGTGATAGATGATCGGTTCTAATTGCCTTTTCCACCATTGAACGCTCGTTGCAGACAAATTCCTGGGCCAGCACAATCCCAGCCACCGCAACAGCACCAGCAGCGAGGCGACCAGCGAGGACATCGACTCCAGCAGGGAGCACCTGAACAAGCCGAAGGGTTCCTCCGGCGGCGGCAGTTGCAGCAACCACGTTTCCGGCGGTGGCAAGAGCCGCTCCAAGCGGCAGCAGAAGTCCGCCAGCCAGCAGCTGCGCAGCTCCGAGCAGAGTGGCCAGATCAGCCAGAATGGGCAGAAGCCGGGCGGAGCAGCTGCCTCGAAGGGCAAGCAGTCCAGCGGCAAGTGGCGCCAGCAGCAACAGCAGCAGCAGTCCAATCCGCAGCAGCAGCAGTCCCATCCGCAGCAGCAGAAGCGCGGCAGCAACAAGAAGAGCGGCAAGTGCAGTGGCAGCATCAACAGCAGCAACCTCGGCAATCCTGGCGGCAACACGGCGAAGCACGGCGGCAACGGCGAGCGGAAGTCCTGCGACAGCAGCTCCTCCTCCTCCTCCTCCTCCTCGGCGCTCAGTTCGCCCACCAGCTCGCCGACGAGCTCCCCGCACGCAGTTGCGAGCCGGAAGCGGATGGAGCGCTCCCTGCTGCCGGGGGCAGCCACTTTGGAGTGGCGCCGCGAGCGGGAGCGCGGGCGGCAGAACACAAACTTTGAGGTGCCGCCGCTGCGGCAGTACGAGCAGCTGGACCTGGACGACGCGACGGTGGTGCAGCAGCTGCGGCGACACGTGATCGACCACCACCTGCTGCGGGTGTACGGGTTCCCCGTGGAGTCCGTGGTGCACGAGGGCGCCATTGAGATCTTCAAGTGCATGCCGCACATGAGCTTCGCGGCCGCGCTGGCCGAGACTGCTCCGGCGGTGACCGTGATCAACTGCCACGACGGGCTGTCCAACCGCGCCCAGGAGGAGGAGGTGGCCACCTCCAGCGACTCCGGCAACAGCTCGCCCCGCTCAATGGACTCCGAGTCGGGCGGCGAGTGGAGCGGCAGTGAGTGCGAATCCAGCTCCTCCTCCTCCTCCTCCAGCTCCTCCTCCTCGTCATCCTCATCCTCTGGGGATGCAGACGCCGAGCTGTACTGCCAGTTCGTCCAGGTGGAGCGCAGCCTGGCCAAGCCCTGCGCCCGCTGCAAGCGCCACTTCCTGGTGGACGAGCTGACGGGCCAGTACCTGTCGCGCGAGGAGTGCCACTACCACTCGGGCAAGTACCAGCGCTACTACGACGGCGTCTCCCACGGCCGCTGGACCTGCTGCAACGGCGGCGAGGAGGGCTCGCCGGGCTGCTGCCTGGGCGACCGGCACGTCTGGACCGGATCGGTGGTGGGGGTGAATGGGCCCTACTACGACTTCGTGCGCACCCAGCCGCGTCCCTCCCGCGCCTCCTCCTCCTCCTCCTCCGCCTCCGCCAACGCCTGCGACTCCGACTCCGATGGCAACTGCAACTCCAAGTCCAAGTGCAGACCGAATACAGAGCCAGCTGTGTACGCGCTCGACTGCGAGATGAGCTACACGGGCCGCGGCCTGGACGTGACCAAGGTCTCGCTGGTGGCCCTCAACGGGCAGCTGGTGTACGAGCACTTCGTGCGGCCGGAGTGCGACATCGTGGACTACAACACCCGCTACTCGGGCATCACGGAGCGGGATCTGCGCGGCGCCGGCGCGAAGACCCTGGCCGAGGTGCAGCGCGACCTGCTCGGACTGATCGCCGCGGACACGATCCTCATCGGGCACGGACTGGACAACGACCTGCGGGCGCTGCGGCTGGTGCACAACACCCTGGTGGACACCTCGATCAGCTTCCCCCACTGCAGCGGCTTCCCCTACCGGCGCGCGCTGCGCCACCTGACCAAGGTGCACCTCAAGCGGGAGATCCAGAGCGGCGACGGCACGACGGGCCACAGCAGCTTCGAGGACTCGCGGGCCTGCATGGAGCTGATGCTCTGGCGGATCAACCGCGAGCTGGACCCCACATGGAGCTGGGAGGACTGAGCACTGCAAGCAGCGGGCAACTGGACACACACGGGATAGTGGGAAAGTGGGGGAATCCGGGGGAAGGGGGGTGGCCAGCAAGTACTTTTAGTCGTTAAGAGCCAGTTAGTAGGATCTAGGAGCCTAGGAACCTAGTTTGAACCACTGTATTCAGCAACACAAAACAATCTCTAAATCTCAGCTGCGTCGCCCACCTGGCAATCGGTTTCTATGCGCGGAACGGGGTGCATCCGTTCCGGGAGCACCCGGCGCATCCGGGCAATAGGAGCCCATTGCCAGGTGCTGGCTCAGCGAATACATCGACACACCGAGTAGACCGCACAATTCAAATGACAAGAGGGCATCGCAAGAAGGCACGCAAAATGCTAAATGCTAAATGCTAAATGCTAAATGCTAAATGCAAAAAGGAGGAAAAGAGGATGATCGATCATACACACATATATTTATATGCGACACATAAGGTACATTTTGTAAGCGTATATTTATAGTGAAAAATAGAACTTTAACCTACATATGTATATACGCATACGGTTTTTTTTTTTTCTTATTAATTTCGAACCACGAGAAAATGTACTGAAGTTTAAGCTGTGATGTTTTTTTCACTTTCTCACATATTTACACGAAAAATGAAAAGTAAAAGCAAAACAAAAACAAAAATAACAGAAAAATACAAAAAATATATACATGCATCCATTACTTGTTTAAGTAGCACCGAAGAAAGGCAATCCAAATACTTTTTAATTTTGACCAAAACTTTCAACTAAAATCACTCCATTTATCATAATTAACCTTAGGATTCGTTTTGATTACTTTCCATTCTTTTCTTTACTTTTATTTTTTTTTCTTTGTTTTTTTTCCTCAAACTCTTTTTTATTATTTCACTAATAATGCATCTCACATACAAACGGGAAACGAAGATAAAGTAAAGTTTAACTTTAACTACATTATACACTATGCATAAACGTAAGTTAGGTTAATCCTATCAATCAGTTTCTTTCCAAACGTTTTGACTATTTATTTAACGATTCACGCGATAAGTTCATTGAAAATTTCTTCAAGTGTACAATTTTTCACATTGAACTCCATTTTAGGCTAAGAGATATCTTTGATTTCTCTCGAGAAACTATCGACGATTAACCATTGTTCCTTGATTGATTGTTTTCTAAAACCAGTCAAGGAATACTTTATTCGAAAATCGATGTTCCTAGCAGCATAAGTTTCAGCACAAATACACTGCAATTAGCGGCTGTTTTTATTTTTTATATAAAACAGAAAGAAGAAGCACAACGATAAAACTGAAAGAGAATAAAATAAACAATGATTTGTTTTGCAACTAAAAATCACCCGAAAGCACTGGCTTTTATTTATTTGTTTGGGAAATGGTGACCCCGATCGATTGTTACAGCAACCGCAGCTAGGGTCTTGAACGCGACTGTTGCGCCACACGACGGCTGAGTAATATTTTGAATGTCAACGAAAAAAGCGTGAGGTGTGTATGAATGTATGTGTGTGTATGTGGCGTGACGAAAGCACGTTGAACCGCAGAATACAGACGTCACAGCAGCGATATCTTCTCGATTTGGGCAAGTGGTAATTTTGGAAAAAGACAAACCGCTGAAGCTGTTAACAATGTTAACAATGTTAACAAGAATAACGCGCATGTCTCTTAATTTGGATGGATTTATTTACCTTGGCCAAACATGTGGCTTTTTACTGTGCCACTATTTACTATTTGCCACTTACAGAACGCGTTACCTTAGTGCGGCGATCAAGATCAAACCGCATTTGTTTTTCAGCCGACTGGCGATGCTGGCCCTGCAGCGCGAGGTCAGTGGCTAAAAGAGATGTAAACCCGACCCGTTGCTATATGCTATATGCTATATGCTATATGCTACATGAGTTCAAACAGACAGAGCCCAACGACTCTCAACTAGCAATGCTTTGAAGTACTCGTATGCACCCACCTTGCAATCCAATTCCACAAACAACAGAGTGCTGGTCCCAAGCTGGTGCGCCCTTAGCTGGTGCCCACTGTAATCTATCTGCATCTGCGGTCAACAGCTGTAATGCCAACTTGCGGAAGCACCGATCTGTGTGATCAGCTGAGGGTTCTTTGAAACTAAAAACAAATAGTGTTTGCCCAACCAAGTAATTGGCATTCGGCGAATGCCCGAGACCCGGCATTTCAGGCATCTGCGTCGCAGAATCCAACCCAACTGAGGTACGTTCTCGGGTGTACTATAGATACTTGGAATAATGCATAGCCAGCACACGAATAGTGGCATCATCCAGTTAGCAGAGAGTATCTGAACGTCTGTCTCAAGCCAAAAGGTTATCTGCCTGCCACCGCTGACGTCAATTTTGCCAAGTTAGCATTCGAGTGCGAAGTGCGAAATGAAAAGCCTGCACTGGTGTGTGTGTGCCGGTGTGCCGGTGTGCCAGTGTGCGTGAGGTGTGCAGCAGTGAAAGTAGAAAGTGATTCAAGAGGTGGCGGCATGTTCATAATGGTGCTGCCCTGATGCTCGACTGATGACGAAACCCACGAAACGAGCGAAAATTGGATCACAACAATGTACGACACCAACATGATATCTTTCCTGAACCAAGTCCTTAAAAATAGTACTCCACTCTCTAAAGGTTTTTGGGCAAAACACTTTCGAATGAGATGTGAAGGGTATTCGGTGAGGAGAATAAGCCAAATGGTCAAAAGCAGATTAGACCGATGCAAATCGCTCGGATTCATCTTGCCACAAAGCGCAAGCAAAAGGCCAGAAGAAAACAACTGATCGATCGACTTTTAATCGAGTTAATTTCTTGCCTTCGGCTTGTGACTGACTGAAAAACCGGGCGGGGGGCTAAAAAGAGGGACCATTGATGATCATTTGACGGACGAAGGCGATCGACTAAATATAAATTGAACGTTCGTGTTTGGCACATTTGTGCGAGAAATCGCATCAATTGTTTTAATTGTCTGCTATCTGAGTATCTGAGTATAGGCAGAGTTGGGATGTGTTGGCGATACTGTATGCGATCTGTACATAGGTAATGCCGCGTGCACGGAACCCTAATCTGTAGCAAAACGCTCGCCAGTCGCCGATTATGCAATGGTCGCCCGAGAATCCGAGTCGGAAGAGTCAATGTAATATAAAAACCCAAGATAACATCGGGCTATTGTGCGCTTTTCTCGCACCTCAGGCTTTTGGCCAGACAAACAGTCGACTCCCGTAAGTGGCATCCACATTTTTCCTAGACCTGAGGCATTCAATTTGTTTGCAGAAGGGTATATAGCTTAAGCCTCTCTTGGAGATTCCAGCTCATTGCTTCGCCAGATGCCCAATCATATAAAAATAGCATATGGCCGCACAAAACACCCATGATTCACGCACCTGAGCTTGTGCAATAATCGAAATCAATTTTCAAAATTGACCAAATAAGGCGTAAGACCAAAATCGAGTTCCCCAATCCGACGACGATGATTCACAGGCGTCGCCATTTCTCGCAAGAAGTCACAGTCACTAAGATATATTTGTTTATTTATTGCGACTTGGCGTCACCTGCTGACCCGCCTGCCACTTGTTGACGATCCAGACGAAAATAGCCATTATTTCTTGCTTAACAAACTATTTCCAGCGCCGAAAGTGCGATAATAAAGTATAAACTATTTAAAAGCTTGAATATTTAGTACTATATTTAATTGATCACACCGATTTCTGTTCGAAGTGTCCAAAAGTCGGCATATGTATGTACATAGGTAGTTTGGAGCATAGAACGATGACGCGATGATTACGTGATAGCTGGCATCGAGGTGGCGATTACCCCCACTCCCCATGACATAATTACCAAAACGGAGCACTATGAGTGGTGAGATGATAGGCGCCTCCATATGGACATATGGACATATGGACATATGTCGTATGCAGTGTGCCAACGGGTTGCCGATGCCGTTTCCGTTTGGGAGGTACACTACAGGAAACCGGTCTGATTCTGATTTATTATTGAAAACATTTTTCCGCAAACCCTTTCATGTCTTTTTTGGCAGGCCTCTAACAATTAAATATTTCAATTATAACAAACAACTAAAAAGGTTTGTTCACTGTCCAATCCACTCGTATTGTTGAGCAAATCGGATTGCAATCGAGCATGGAATTGCTCTCATCTAAATAATACCTGTCGATTCTGCGTAATGGGGTCTGCATTTTACTTTATAAGCTTGGCTGCGCCTAAATCTCATCTTCTGTACTTTATTAGTTGATTTAAAAACTGCAAGACCATTTCAATGAAAGCCGTTTCTTACTCAAGTCGAATCCCATGAATAATTCGCTGGTTACATATATCAAATCTTTTGGGCGGAGCTCTGCTTTTTCGCATTTTTGCCTTCAGTGAATTTGTATTGAATATTGAATCGTAATTCGGGTTTTTTTGCGACCTGGAAGCTCAGTGGTTTGCGATCAAATCTGGTCAGGTCGAGTCGGATTTACCTAAAAATTGTGAATAATGCAGCGGGCCGCTGCGGAATTCGAAATTTCCTCTCGAGTGCATGTGAATCACCTTGCGGCTGAGACTTTCGCTGGGAAAACAGAAACCAGTTTTCCTGCTCGGCACTTCGGTTCTTTAAAAGCGAGAGTGAAGCGATGATACTGAACAGTGTGGGTTGCTGCTCATTAGGACTTAGATTCCTATATATAATATGTATTTTATAATTTTTGGGTCATTTTTTTTAACAACTAGTTACCCATTTGCAAGATTCAACACTTATGCGTATGAGTAATATATAGTCCAATCGTTATTATTACAAAAAATGTATATATAGTATATAAGAAATTATAAAAAATGTGACTGTCAAAAGGAAAGGGTTCTTCATGTCAGGGGTAACGATAGCGAAAATCTAGATGGACCAGCAGCAGTCACATGGTTGGCTCATCCAACTGAACGCTTAATTCAAGTTGAAGGCTTTGCTGCGGCGGCTAAACAAACGCACCTTGGCTGCCAATTTCGGTGATCGTTTTTTGTTTTGTCGTGTTTTATCAACATTGTTGTCTCTGTGGTATTTACCTTGCACAGCCGCAGCTTTTCGACACCCACAGCAATGCGGGAAAAAGCTGAAACAGAGGCGGAGACAGAGGCCTAGACGCCACACGTGGTTCGGTCATGCACCATGGTGAAAGTTCAAGGCCTCTTTCGGCTCGGAGCTCTGCAACAGGTAAATACGATGCGCAAACAGAGTGGGTTTACCTGAAAGATGTTCATAAACATCGCAGATACCAGAAGCCTTTCAATTTTTTGAAGCAATGATATCCGCACTGCAGGTGATGGCATCGCCGCCTCTCCATATTTGGCACGAAGTCAGCGAAGCGAGCTCCTCCGCCTGGCGGTACCACTATGAACCATGGACTTAAGGACTTTTACACTTTACGTCGGCCGTCAAACAAGTCACCTTAGTTTTTGTTTTAAGATGATTTAACTGTAAGCCAACTGTAGACGCTCGACTGTATTACAGAAATCTTGGCTTGTAGGCTGCGGAATGCACGGCAATTTGTCTGCTGGCACTACTGATACCGCTGCGAAGTTGCCGCTGGCTCGTTGCATGCAGCATGCCATGTGCGAATCTATGTATCACTTCTTACATGACGTGGGCGGCGGCATTTCCTCGATGCAGCGGTGCACCCAACCCAACCCAAAATGAAAACCCGGAAAATGCGCAAGAAACTGCAGCACGAACCACTATACCGGTATGACTGAGTAATTAAGACTGCAAATCAAATAAATTTCCAAGTTCAAAAGCTTGTTCGCTGGCTTGCTTCATCGCTATATTTGTAATTGGTGTATATGCATCGATCACTTTTGGGGGCTTAATCGTACAAAGTCTATATGTACACGTTGATAGCGCTAGGCTGGCTTGGACATGGCAATTAACAGCAGTGCTAATCCGTTGTGCTTAATGCTAGTAGAGTCGCACAAATCAATGCTTGTGGCTACTGGTTATAACGAGAGACAAATGTAACAGGCGCTGGCACTTGAACCGTGATATAAATCGAATCGAGCGAAGCTACCGAGTCGTGGAAGATGTGTATAAATGTATCTGGGTTTGCATCCGTATCTTGACTTGCGTATTTGGCCTGAGATTTGGGCTTGAAGCCCGAGTTGCTGTTAGTTACTGGCGGCGGTAGACGATGCAGTCGCCTGCTGCTTGAAGATCACGCCAGTGATCTCACCATTCTTCTGGATCACACAACGTCTGTAGGAAAACAAATGAAAAAGTAATATATACATAGCTAGTTTGCAATAATCCTTTTTAGAACATGAGTAAGACGAACGAACTTTAAAGAGGTGGTCTCTGTCAGAGGTTCTTGACTTCAGAACATATCCGCATTGGGCAAAACATATCATGTCCTTTACAACGAGGCATGTTCCTAACTTACTTGTTGCCGCTATACAGGCAAATCGTGGCCGGAACCGTGGTATTCGGCTCCAACTTGGCCACCTGCTCCGAAATAGCCATTCCGATGCCGGAAACATTAGCATCGATTTCTCCCTTGGCTGCAAGAGTTCAACGACATTATTGTAACTGATTAATCGGGCAAATACTCCGATACTCACTGCCAAGACACAATCCCTGACGGTTCGCCAGAAGAGCTCCCACCGTGTCCTGTCGCGCAACGCTACAAAGAAGGATTATTAATAGTGGTCCTCGCGCTCAACGGGATCCCTACATTTCCGCCAAAACCTTTTCCAGTTGTTGCTCCATGGGCGAGGCTTAAAATCCAAGACGTAAAACTCTGAAGAACTCTGTAGAACTCTAAGAGAAAAAACTAAGGCGAGAACCAAAACAATGAAAAGTGTGACCAGTAGGAGCCAAACCCAGAAATACTTCAACACGCTTCGCTAAAAATACTATATACAGTGAGCATTCTTGAAACAAATCTTTTAAAATTGTTAACCTAGAGGGATTTACATATTTAGAGCTAGTTAAATGTATTCGACTTGTGGAGAACGCGTGGTTTAAAAACTTTTTTTGATAACTTTAAACTAGAGACTAGTTTATATAGAGTAGAAACAGACGGGCAGACGTTCATGCCTACTACTTCATGGGCTCACTGCCTAGCAAAAATGTAACGGAAGTCAGAATACCTTCCTTAAAATTAAAAATTAAAAATTAAAAACACTTCACAACGAAACCAACTATAACTAATTGCCTTTCATTTATTTTATACCGTTGCACGCAACGCTTCGGGTGCACAAAATTAGTTTAATTGATAGACTTTAATGATTTTTCATATATTTTTAGTTTTTTTTGGGATTACTTGCTCTGAGAAGCCGATCGCGCCATATATGTATATCCAAAGTTCGAAACATATATAAAAATAATCTATAACATACTGCAGCAGTAGAATCAATCGTATCGAATCGAATCGCCCCGGAAAAATAAAATGGATTTCTAGGTGTATTTATGTACTACTTAGGTTGCCTGCGGCGTTGCCTACACGATCTCGTATTTTTCCACGAACAGAATGGATTCGCTCGAGTACTTGACCGGCGATTCGCCGTCCACCTGCACCACATCCTGGGCAACGACGCCCGCGTACGGCGTTTTGGAAACGAAGGACACCTGCAAGGGAAAGAAGTCGCCCGGAATGGAGGCACTGCAGCTAAACTCCATGGAGCCGGACTTGTTGGCGGCGTCGATGATAGGGATGTGCCACTGCAGCACATGCTTACGTGAATCGTAGTTGTAGGTGCCATCGTACTCGGCCACTGAGGGCTGAACATTCATTCTGAAGAGTTGAAAGAGAATTGATTTATGCTCCCGGGGCTTTCAAAGACGTTCTACTCACGGCAAAGGTATGACAATGGCTACATCCTGCAGCTCCAGCTGTTGAGCCTCCAGTTCGTACTCGATATTCACATCACAGCCACCCTCGCCGTTGTCTGATGGCCAGCAGTTGACTGAAAAAGAGTGAGAAGCACAGACCTGTAAGTGAAAGAGAAGCAAGGTCCCCTCCAGGGGCACTTACTGGTCAATGGAATAGCCGACTCGTCCTGCGAAACGAACCGCCACTTGAGCACACCCACGTCGGTGTTGAGGGGAAACGGCTTGCCCAGGTTCTTCAGCCCAATGGTGGTGCGTGACTTGAACAACTCCTTGTCCACATTGGGGTGTGTCTGAAGCTGCAGTCCCTGTGTGTGGTTGGGGGACAGCTTCAGCAAGATGCGACCGTACGCCTCGTCCGCAATGCGCAGGGTCAGCAGGCCTGAATTCTCGAACTGCTGCACACCGCCATCGCGACCCAATCGCACCACCAATTTGTCCTCGATCTTCAGATGCACACTGCGTGAATAACGAGGTTTAGCACGTATGAACTTTAGTATAAAGCCACTGAAACCCACCTCTCCTTGTGAATATCCGCTGAGATTGCCGCCTTCGCTGCTGCACTTGCGCTGGCGGCAGCATTGGAGCTTCCAGCGGGCGCCGCCGGAGCCAGATTGGCAATCTTCTCACCCTCGCTCTTTAGCTGATCCACGAAGCTGTCCACGTCCTTTGACTTGCCGCCAAGCTTAAGGGCATTTCGCGAAGTAGGTTTACTGCTAAGGAAATTACCAAAAATAAGCGACAAACCAGAAGAAATTCATGGGGGTAATGACATACGCAGTAGCCTTGGATTTCGTGTCCACGTCGATGGAGGTGATCCCTATGGCGGCGCTGGAGCCACCGGAACTGCTGCTCACGCCGCTGCTGCCGAAGCTGTCGGCGCTAAAGCCCCCATTGCGTCCGCCCATGCCGCCCAAGGAGGGACCGCCCCGCTTGCTGGCTTCCATACGCTGGCGTTGCAGCTCCTTGGCCTTCTCACGCATCTTTTGACGCGCCTCGCGTTCCTGCGTCTGTCGAACCGCCTGGTAGACCTTCTCTTCGTGCGAGTCCATCTCCACAAAGGTCTTGATCTGGGCCAAATTGACGCTTTCCCTGTATCCTAATGCCACGATCTCGTCGAAGGCGAAGATTAGGTTAAAAGCATTCTCTACGATTTCCTTTTCATCAAGCGAGTGGCTATACTCGGGGATCTGCAGGATATTCAAGCGGATTAGATCTGATTTGGTGATTTTCAAAGGCATTAACCCACCACTTTCGAAAACAGGCGCAGCGTCTCCAGATCCTCCAGGATGTTGCTGGCCTTTGTTGTGATGAGCAGCATATACAGCTTCTCCATCGGCTGATAGACGTAGCGCACAGAGTCCGTCTCTACGTAGGTGTGCTGCTTGCCAGCAGTCATGAGCTTGGGGAAGGCAGCTAGCAGTCCCTCGATGCGTGCCTTCGTCATCTCGACGAACTGACGTGACAGAATCACTGTGCGTATACGTTATTTGTTATTTGAAAGTCTTTTTTTCACAGGATATATGGAGCACTCACCTTTGCCATTCTTCGTGCAGACTGCAGCAGCAATGAGTACCTGCGAATCGATTAAGTTTAATGATAATTCCGGAATATGCCGATTAGCTTCGAAATCGCCGACGTGTGCGTGTGTGCGTGAGTCGGTCGGAGGCTCTTACCATTTTGCGGCTGCGTTTGATATTCAAGTCCTGGGGAATACTTTTCAGATCGAATGCGGACTGCGCAGGATGGTCTGCTGCTACGGATCGGATTTGCGGGGCGCACGAAAAGTTGTTTTTTAATCAATCCGCGTAGCTGACGTGTTCGGTTCTACGACAAAATGTTTACGGTGGCTGTGTGTGAGTGCGGGACAGTGTGACCAAAGCCACTGTGCATATTCACCGCAAAGCAGAGTATCGGTAACGGGATACCCTGCACATTTTTTTTCTTAACTCTCCATAACTTTTTTTTTGTAGGTCCCAGCTAAGTTCCATTTTATTTACTTCATTCCTTTATCAGACATTTATTGTATATTTTATTTTTCAACAGGTAAAGAAAAACATCATTCAGCTTTCAAAGTATTTAAGTCAGATCTGAAACACTAAAGCATTCCCTGTTCCGACAACGAAGGGCTACTATTAATGTACCTACCAAACTCTACAAATTTCGTTGTTTTTCAACACCCAGAGTTACACCGGCTTATCGTGAGCAAGTTACACAACACTGACACTAAAATGTCCGTTTAACTTTAATAATAACAACATTGTGTTGAAAATTGTATAAACTATTATAATACATCAAAGAAAATATACAAGTGTATACATACACCTCTTACATTATTGAGTTAGTTAAGAAAATAATGAGAGATAGTTCAGTCCTTGCCTGATTGTCCTAGGGTCCTGCTAGCTCAGCTAGTCGTCGAGTGTAAGCGTTTCCACTCCATTGGCGATCGACGCCGCAACCCCCTCCGCCGAGTTACCCTTTTGCTTGGCGTACTCCACACTGAGAATGCGCATCACCTGGGCGGCTGTCATGTTGTCTCGCTTGTGCTTTTGAAAGTTGTCCTTGACGAACTTGGCAAATCCCTTCGCCTCGCCCGCAGGAGTGGATACAGTGTTTCCCTGTTTGTCCTTTTTGTTAAGAAATAGAGTGATTGGCCCACGGCAGATCCTGCAGCGCAGGTCCTCCACCTTGCGGGATCGAGAGTGGGCATGCGAACTGTAGAAACATAGAAGAAATCACAATAGGGGAATATTCACAATCGCCTCCTGGAAACTTACGCTTTATCACAGCTTAAGCATTTATATGTGTACTTAAACTCAATGCTGTAATTGTGGCAGACCTTGATTGGTGGCAGTTCGGGGAACTTGTCGTTGGCCCGCTGGGCCCACATCTTCCAAACGCGTCCGTGCCCACCCTCCCCATTAAACACCCATGCGGCGGCATGGCACAGTTCGTGGATCAAGGTGCAACGCAGGCGGTCTGCCGTGGTTAGTACTTTGACACTCAGCTCCACCACACTGCTGCGCTGGTTTAGTCTGCAAAAGAAAGTAAAACAGTAAACGGATCACTCTTTAATCCTTGCCGGCAGAAGTCAGCGACACTCACTTCCGCTTATTCATGCACCGTCCGGCTGTGTTGCGCAACAGTTTAGACCAAGTAATGGGCACATCCAGCTCGTTGTTAAACACCTGAGTATTGAACATCTTGTAGAGATGCTGTGCCAGCTGCTCTTTGTTCTTGGCGAAGTTCTCCCGGTAAAAGAAGGCCTCGTTATCCGCCAGATCCCGGCTCACTTGCCCCTCCAAAGATTTTAAGAAGCTGCACTTTCGTCCAGCCATGTTAGTCGGCAGTTCCTTCTGCTTTTTTGGTTTGCGGGCCGTGGATTTTGGTGGACCGGGGATTTTGAGCGGAGCAAGGGATTTTGGCGGGGCTGTTTGCGGAGTGAGCAGCTTGAGGATCGGGCTTTCATGTGGTGTTGTTGGTACTTGTTGCGGGATACCCAATTTCTTTTTAACCTCCTGCAATCGCTTGTGAACGGGAGTGCCCGGCAGGTAGTCGCCCTCCAGCTCATCAAGCATGTCCAATTCCAATGCTCTGTTCACTATCGCCCTAGCCTCGGTCTCGTCTTCGAATCCAGTGTTCGGTGTAAACAGCTTCCGGCGAGTGGTGGCTTGAGGGGCAGGCGTAGCAGGGAGTTTAGCCTTAGCGCTGGCGCGACAAGAGCGCAGAATGTCGTCCAAGCGGCGGTGGAACTTTGGTGCTAAAAGAAGTAACCGAATCCTTTGAGTATGGCATGAAATGAGTTAAAAATTAGTCGCTCTTACAAGGCGAATCTTCGTCGGGATTGCTGATCACCTCCACCTCGTCCTTGGTGAGATCTAAATAGGTAACCTCGCCGGCCCTTTGACTGCCTTTCTTTTTTGAATCGCCACTGATTTCGCTGCCACTACCGCTATCGCTGAAAGTGGCATCTGCGTCTTCGTCGTCTGAAGCATCTGTGGCGGAGTCAGAATCGATGAGTTTCCGCCAGCGATCCTCATCCACGTGGTTAGTGCGCATTCGTGTCACTGGCTTTTGAGGCCGAGGACGTCTCTCCGTTTGGACAGCTCGCACGGGTGGCAAGCGAGTGGAGTTCAAAGGAGTTTGGGTCGAGCGTAGAGCTCGCTTAACTGCGGAAAACAGTGAGTGTTACTTAAGATTTCGGTGGTGTTAGAACGTTTGCTTACATATGCTGAAATCTCCGAGGACACTCTCATCTGGTCTAGCAGTTAGAGGACGCGGCTTCTTCTTTTTCTCGGTGGTGGCCGCTGTTGCTGGAATGTTTCTGGCTTTTAGTGGAGCAGTCTTTCCGCCACTGCCACTAGAACGCTTCAGAGTACGGATTACATCTGGCGTTTGCCAGGACTTTCCATACAACTGATTTAGCAGCTTTTCGGCGTGGGTAAGAAACTGCTCATCCTCGGAAGCATCAGCCGTGGACAGCATCGAGTGTTGGTGTGCCGTCTTTGAAGTCTGCTGCTGCTCCTGGTGCACCTCTTCAGAGGACGGCAGGGACATGGTGGCCCTAGGCGACGGGTAATGCTGCTCTTCGTCCTCCGCCGAACTCGAATCGATAGTGGGAATACTGATCTTGATGTGGATCTTGGCTGAAATATTAATGCTGTTTACTTGGATGGATTTGCATCCATCTCCGTCGTCATCGCCCGATGTTGAGGAACCGGAGCTGGGTTTCTGTGGCGTGGGCTCGCCCTCGCTAGAAGTTTCTGGTATTTCAATGGATTCGTCTGAAATGGGTTGCTCCTCGTGCAACGTAGAGTTGTTGCTGACGGAGCTCTTAGAACACAGTGTGTTGAGTTCGGTGTCATTGTCCGCCAGCCGTTTACTGCTGTCCTGGGGCTCCAAGTCCTCTGATCCCATCGTATTTGCCTCGGTTTCGTTGTCCGCCAGCCGCTTGCTGCTATCCAGTTGAGTTATGTCCGCCGAGCAGATGGTGTCTATCTGCGTGTCGATGTCCGCCAGCCGCTTACTGTCTTCCATTGACTTAGTAGCCACCGGTTGAAAGTCATCGTCGGTTGGCGACATAGATTCGGTGTCAGCTTCAGCTAGCCGAGATTGCCGCCTAGAGGATGAAAGGGGCGATGGTGTCAGTGAGCCATTCCTTTCCATGTCACGCCGCTCAATAGACACATCGCGCAGGAAAGCCTCGATGCGCTGCACCTTTTCAGTTGTCAGTATAGGGTGTGTTATTGGCTCCTGATCGGGATCGGGTGCTCGGTCGCTCACAGCCATGCTGTCGGGGGGCAGAGGTTCCCCCTCGTCTTCACTGGAATCGGATATCGTGATGCAGGAGGCATCGTCGTCGTGCTCCTCCGTGGAAGAGGAAATGCAAATGGGTATCTCTGGCTTGGGCGGCAGCTGCTGCTCCTTGGTCTGTACTCTCAAACTACTGATGCCACCGGACAGGTTATCCAAGCCAGGTGCATCCTGGCTGCAACTCAACTGCAGGGCGTCCATGTAATCGGAACTATTGATATCTGAGTGCGATTCCTCGAGATTATCCCCGCGGGACGGACCACCCACATTTCCGCGCATTGAAATTGCTTCCTGTTGACAGTCTCCAAGAGAATTCCTTTTATTTGTATGTTCCTTCGGCTTTAAGGACACCTGCTGTCGTTTTTTGTGAGAGGATAGCGTCAAATTGGCGAATTTCTGATTGAAGGGTACTTTTACTTTGCTCGGGTCGACTGCATTGAAAAGCCTATACTTGTGATCCGCCATTTTGGAGACGTCGTTAGGAGATTAACGGCAATCTTAGGTATATTTGAGAATATGCTTTAAGTAAAATTGACAATTATTTTTTTTTGTATTTTGAGCGCGTCGATTTCAGGTTAAATCTATCGTTATCGAAGTACCGTGTGTTTTTCGATGAATTTTGTTACGGCTTTAGCTAGAAAGATTCATAGTTCGAAGTTCAAGGTTTTGAACTTCGCAATATGACAGAAAAACAGTTATAGAAATATATCATTGTCCAAAAATAAATACTGTTTTGGTGGTGCTTGTACTGAGAAATCGTACATGTACCTAAATATGTATGTCATCGAGGAAAACTATTCTTAAAATCCAAATTTTTCGTTCACGTTCTTATAGAATCAACTCACAAACATTTTAATGTATGCTACTGACCTGTAATCCGGTTAAAATTGCCACAGTTATAAGCTATGGGAGTTATCTATCTCTAACACATTATAATTGACTGCTCCCCTAAAAAAATGCAATTTGCCTCTTAGCCAATCCCTGAAATGCCATAGCAAACTACACCAACGAAAATATTTTTAAAATTGTACCTTAATAAGCTTGCATTTTCCATTAATTTAAATTTTAAATGATTGTAAATGGGACCGCCATTGCTGCAAACCACGTTATAGTAATTAGTTATTAGGTAGTTATTATTTTTAGTTAGTTAGTTTAGTTATTATCTTAAGAGTCGATAAGACACATTAGAAGCCAAAGTAAAAAAAAAGCTAGAAAATGGCTAAACGTTCAGTGCTTGTGATGTGAAGCATCACTAAAGAAGAATATAAACAAATAGGACAACGCATTTTTTAGCCGGCGCTTAAGAAGTTAATTTACAGCCAGCTTAGGTCATGAATAGTGTTTCCTCGGCCCGCGAGTGCCTCTCCCACGCGATGAACAACCGCTTTCTGCCCAATTTGGAATACCTACTGCAAGGATCCATTCTGGACTCCGCTGTGGAGCACTTAATGCACAGGTGTGTGCCCAAATACTCATTTAGACCCATTTAAGCCTATTTAATCGCCAACACGCAGACTTAAGGGTCTCTGTGACAACGTGGACACTTCACCGGAGCCTTTCCACGACTTGGAGGTGTGTATGAGCCTTAGGCAGCCCAACGCCAATGCCAATCAGCCGCTACTGCTTCGCGTGCGCCGCGCCCTTGGACGCGATGCTCCCTTCCAGATGCGTTACCTGGGCAATCCAGAGGTGGACCAACGCAGACCTACGCTGGTGCGCAGCTGCATGGACTGCGCTTGTACAAACGGAATTCTTGAGTTCCTCACGGAGATGGGCTTCCGACTTGAGTTCGAGTACATAGCTAAGGGTAAATATTGCTACCTCTGTTACTGTTACGCATAATGCAGCTATTCTTTTAGGATACATGTTCCGAAAGGGTCGCATGAAGATCACCGTCTCTAAGCTCATTAAAATCGTGCCTGGTAAGCAGCAGGATATGGCCAACGAGCCGATTTCGCAAAGCTACATCGTGGAGCTATCCGTGGTGGCGCCCACGGGGCAGGAGAACGTCGGTGAGGAGATGCGAGTATTCGCCGAACAACTGAAGCCTCTGGTGCAGCTCGAGAAGATCGACTACAAGCGGCTAGGCGGCATGCCGTAGTGCAAAAAAATGTACTTGTTTCTTAACTTATTTAATTGCTTAGACTATAAGATAGGAAAATAAACAGACAAAAGCAATCGGTAAGGAATGATTAAATATTTATCCTTGGATACCACAGAAGTATTTAATTTCTTACAAATTAAACCATAGAAAAATATACATAAATCAAGTGGGCCTGCTAGAACTTGAGAATAATAGCAGCTTTGTTAGTCCTTAAAGGCATCGTTGAGGGCCACCAGATTGCGATCGCTCACATGACCCTGAAGATCGCTGCGTCCCATTAGCGAGATGACCATCTTGACGGTGCTCCAAATGGACTCGGACATCTGGTTTTGGCCACTATTGGTGGCGGCCATCGCCGCGTTCGGCAGCTCCCTAGCGGCGTTTGTGTGCGCCTGCATGGTAAGCGCCGTCAGCAAATGCTCCACCGCCTCCTTGTAGGCCTTAAGGTTCATGCAGCAGACACCCACGTTGTAGCGTACTCGGATAAAGCCTGGCTGCAGCTGGAGCGCCTGCTGATAAGCCTCGACCGCCTCCACAGAGCGCGACCCGTTGGCCAGGCTGGCGCCCAAACGATTCCAGGTCTTAGCGTTCTGGGGATCGACCTGCAGCGCCGACTGATAACAGTCGACCGCCTTGTCAAACTCCCCAGAAAGGTTGTACAGCACGCCGAGGGCTTCTTGGACGTCGGCATCCACCTCAGACGGGTGCTGGCGCACAGCCTCCAAGTAGATCTGCTGAAGGTCGCGCAGTTTGCTCGGACCAATCAGCGAAGAGGCAAGCGAATTTCCCTCGATCTGCAACTCTGGATGGGCGGCGACTAGGTGCTGGTACTTGGGGTGGACCGCCAGCCAACTGCACAGCATTCGCACAGCGTTGTTCTGTAGGCCCTCGTTGGTGTAGCAAACCGCTAGGGCCATCAGAACTTGCTGGTTCTCCGGCTGGAGGTCATATGCCCGCTTTAGCGCTGCTATGGCCTGCGGGTCCATTTCGTTCTCCGCCTGCGAGGTGCCCAGCAGCTGCCAGACCTCGGCGCGCTCTGGCTGCTTCTTAGCCGCTACCTCGAAGCAGAGGACGGCGCTAGGAATGTCGCCCTTTGCCAGGTACTCCTTGCCCTTCTCAAAAGCGTTTTCCAATTCAGACATGGGGTTTTCCTCGGCAAACTCATACTCCTTGTAGGCATCCATGTTATCGTTGTATTCCGACAGCCACGGGTGTTCATTTTCGTCGGCCAGCTTCTGCCACTCGTCCTGTAGGCGCTGCCAGAACTTCTCGTTGAAGTTGGAGGTGGCTTGCTCCTTCTGCTCAGCGTTGCGCTGGTAGTCGCTGATCCAGTCCTCCAGTGACTCGCCTTGTGGCGCCCGGGGTAAGTTGTCCGTAATTATGGTCTCCATGCCCGAGTCGAAGAAGGGATCCTGCTGCTGTCCGGCCGTTATGGCCATAAGAGGCTGCCGCTGCAGTGGACGGAAGTTCTGGCTGCTGATCAGCGGCTCGTCGAAGAACTCCTGGGCGTGCTGCAGGTCCTGTTGTTGAGGCTGCATGTGGATCATCTTGTTGGGCAGAGGGGGCGCCAGGCCACGGGCAAAGTCCTGACCCCACTGCTCCGCCTGCTGAATCTGCATTAGTTCCTGTTGCTGCTGGGCATTTCCATGGATGTTGATGTCCCGCATCTCCTGGAGCAGCGTGTCCATCTGAAAGGACTGTGGCGGGGCGGCCACCTGTCCAAGGAACTCGCTGATTAACTGGTCCTCGGGGCGAGCGCTTCGCTCGAACTGGCGCTGCACAAAGCCCTCGTCCTTGTAGGCTGCATCGCGAGTAAACTGGCCGCCCAGCTGCATCAGCGGATTCACGCCGCCGCAGTCGCCTTCGACTAACGGGCGAAACGACATGGTGCTTGAATTGAAGGATGCTACGTAACTGGCGTAACTGGGCGATAACAGGCCAAGTAAGGTCCACAACAAAGGTTCAAATGTCCACAAAGATTACTAGGGCAAGCCAAAAAAAATATTGGGGGTACTCACCGTCAGTTGAAAATCTTATTATTTACATATCACGTATTTTACTTATTATCTTATGAATTTTTTTATACATTAACTTTATAGTTTAATTTCTTATACTTTTCACTCAAGTCAACTCCCTTCTTTTGTTTTGAGTTTTATATTTTAATTAAATTTAACAGATATTCCCTATTATAAATCGCTATCGCTATGAATCGATAACAGGTGCAAATTGTAATGAGCTACCCGCAATCGATATCAGAAAATCCGCGCATTTAGAAAATCCTGTGAAACCTGGATCTTTTTCTGCACCATGGACTATGATTTGTTCCAGTCGGATGACGACGAGGAGATCCTGACCGCCTTCGCCCAGGCCACCCAGAAGTTGCAGCAGGAAACGCTCCACGGACAAATAAATTTGGACGATGCAGAAGTAGAAGACTTTGACGATGAACTAAACTTTCTGCCGGAGTTCTGCTGCAGCGGCCGGGACACAGTAAAGAGTCAGTTTCCGGAGGGTGGTTTTCTGCGGAACGGTTACTCCCGGTTGAATCCGCCTCGCTGTGATCTGGATAACCTATGCTTCGACTTCGCCCAGGGTCAACTGTCGGTTGCCGCAGTCAGGAACTATCTTTACGGCGAGGCCTGGTAACTAACCATCTGCTATCCCAACTGCAAGTTCTAACTCTGCCAGAATTCCTAGTAAGAATGTGCAAAAGCTTTTTTCCGCCGTGGCGGGGCAGCAGCAACTGCAGACCACAACCTCTTCCCTGAACTCCGGATGGTTTGGAGTGCGCCGAAAAGTCACCCACTTCTACCATCTGCTGCTTCAACTGCGAGAAAACAACCTTCTGCTTGGGGCACCCCAGTTTCTGGAGGATCTGCGTTATTTGCTTAGCAATCAGCTGGATACGGATGCCTGGAAAATTTTGTACTTTGCGGAGCACAACAAGGGAAACGAATGCCAAGCGCCGGCCTATCACCTGTATCACGGCATCCTGGAGTGGCGCATCCTGGATCTCCACCTGTTGTATTCCTCTGGGGAGAATCAGGGCATTCTAGGGCACGTGGAGCAAACACTGGAAGATCTAATAGTGTGCGCCGGTCATAATTTCCGCAGCAAACATCGCCCAGAGCTGATCCATTCCTCCCCGTTTATTTGTCGCTGCACCAAGGAGCTGTGGCTTCTGCTGAAGCATCTTGTCCCCCAATGGCTGAGTGAGATGGATCTGGACTTTTGGACGCTCTTTCACATGGCCATGCAGAGGCACAGGGCAAACCACTTTAATGGTAAGAGGCGAAAACATTATTTTATGGTTCCCCCCCTTACACTGTCTTCTCCAGGTGAGATCAATGCAGTTTCCTTGACATACCATGAGTTTTACGCCTGGCTACGACTTGGAGTGGCACGTTTGGAAGAGTACAGCAGCGAGGGTCAGTACCTACCGGAGCAAACGAAAATCTTGCCGCCTGGCAGCTTCCAAACCGCCAGTCTACTAAAACAATTTTTGGCCAGTCAGCCGGACGAGCAGCAGCGTCGTGTTTATCTTTCACTGATCTCGCCCCTACAACTGCAATTTGGTCAGCCGGACATGGATGTGCTGTGCCAACTATGGGAGTACCTGCATCGCTTACTGAACTGCAACTTCAGTGCAGGAACCGAATTGGATCAGCTTCCCCTCACCTGTCCCAGTGGCGCTGCTTATGTGGAGCGCTACAGCAAGTTGCTGGACAAGTCTCATCTGGAAGATCTGAATCTGAGCAGTTTCACCATGTACGCCTGGATGCTGGGTAGGACCTTAAAGACGCTGCCAATGCAGGGCCGGAGCAACCAGCGCCAGAAAATGCTGGGTCGCATCTTCAGCAAATTCAGTGCCGCGAAGCTCTTGGCTCTCAATGAACCCGGTATCCACCATGTGATTGAGCTCTTCCTGTGCCTGCTGCTTAGCCAGGAGGATCTCGGCGAGCTGGCGCCCAAGCTGCGCGATATGCTGCTTTGTTTGGCTCTGGATAAGCTGCCACCGGTGCGAAGGACTCTCGTGGCCAAGGGACACATGGCTCTGCTTCTCCTTCATGCGCATCATCGCCTTCCTATGGAGGACTATGTGGGAAAGCTGCTTAACCAGTTGGCCACCATTCGAAATGACACGGAGGTGGGCGCCATATATGTGAGCAGCCTGCAGACCGTCTTTGATCTGGCAGATGACTTTAACCGCGGCGAGCAGCAACTTTTGGGACCCTGGTTAACGCACTACGTGGAAAAGAGTGGCCAGGCTTCGCAGGACCGCGTATGGCAGGCCATTCATTCCCTGGTCCTGCGCCTTGGCGATCCAAAAGCAGTGGCAGGCAATGCCAGTGGTATGAAGGAGGCGCTCCAGCAGCACATTCTGCCACTGCTGAGGACGCAGTACGTCAGTGGGCATAGCTCATGGTTGCCCATGTTGGCGGCCAAGTTTGTTTCCCTGGCCGAGGATCAGGATAAACTGCTGCTGGGCTTTCTTCAGGGTCCGGAACCTATTAATATGGCCGCTTCGGCGCAGTTGATGCTCCATGTGCTTAAAGACGGCTGCCGGCCTGCAAGCTCCACGATCCTGCAGGTCTGGGTGAAGTCCTTGGTTCTCCTTAACGCGCAAAATGAGTCCGTCCTGGCCCTAACGCCCCATGTTACAAATCTGGAGGAGTTCCGGCAGCTAGCTATTGATCCGGCATCTTTAGAGAGCGGCCGCGAGCCTCTCTGTGCCTTTTTTGGAGCCCTCGGAAGGCGCGCACAGCAGGAGGAGGCTGCGGCGCACGTGCGGATGCAGTTGAGCCACAAACTGCACGCCTATGTAAATCATTTCGAGCTCTGGCTGCCACCGGATCGCCAGCGGTCGGAGCTGGGATCCCGCTTCTACAGTTTCCTAGCTATAGTCATCTACAACTGCCCAACGCTCGCGTACGTCCGCTCTAAGCCCAGCTGTTTTTTCCACCTGGCTATGGTGCGGTTCCTGCTTACCACGCAGCTGCAAGCCGGTGTGCAGCCTGAGGGCCGTCTGCCGCAAATGGTGCACAAAATCTTCCCAGTACTGCTGCAGGGGATTGGTCGGCTACCCTACCGCACAGACACCTACGTGGCCAAGACCCTGGAGCAGCTGGTACAGCATTGGACGCCACACTTTGGATTTTCGCCGAACGCAAAGCTGGTGGCTCGACCTTACGCTACGCTTCTCCAGGCAGATGCAGATGGAGTGCTGGCGCAGTTCGTGCTTCAGCTCCTGGTGAACCAATTCTTGGTAGTGCAGAGGCGGAAGGCTGGCCAGCATGTGCCTCTGGTAATCACCATCTTGCAGCAGCTGATCGAGGGCACGACCGCAGAGCAGGATCAGCAGCTGATGACCATTCTCCGCGGCGTGCACATCCCTCTGCTGGAACACGTGATGTTCGTGGACGAACTAGACCTCAGTCGCGGTCAGGTGTTTGGACTCTATCGAGCGCTGGTATCCCACGAGACGTATAAGTGCTCTCAATCTGTTAGGGAAATGTGCTCCAATGACTTGCGATCCCTGGCCGAGAAGCACCTTGCCCACTGCACCTACTTTTACTTCCAGATGCTGATTAAGCTGGCGGAACTTGCACCGAATCTGGTGGCTCCACTCCTGCCTTTCGTCCAGAAGCAAGCAAAGCAGGTAGAGCTTAAACGCGGCGCTGGCGAGGATGTGGGCATTCGCAAGTGTCTACAGCGACTACAAAAGGTTTTAAGCTAGGTTTAGATTGACTGTGCATTTGATTATTTGGATGTAACTCAATAACAATATAGTTTTTAGCTTTTAATAGTAGTCATCACCAAGTAAATTATACGGTTTTACAAAGATTTCATATAAAAATGTTTTTTTGTCGGAGGTCTCAAATATTCGGCCCTCCCGCGATTTTTACTTTAGGGGTCTGTTGTAAAATGCATGGTCTTTAACAGTGTTACTATTGCTGAGTTTACGGATTCACTTTAAGGCTTCACAATAAATAGACTAAGATTGCTTCTCTTTCTGGCAGTTCGGTTAACATCCCTAGACCACGTTCTTGGCGTCCCGCGGGATACGGTTGGTAAGCAGTGGGGCAGGCATGAAGCCCGAGTCGCCCAGGTACTTGATGGACACGTTGCCCGACGGACTGATAGTCAGCCACGTTATGGAAGCGTGGTTGATGTTGATGCGCAGCCATCCCTCGGCGGGAAATTGGAGGGCCCGGCAGACAAAGTACCGGATCACGTTGCCGTGGCCCACGATCAGAGTATAGCTCTCCTTTTCCTGGTCGGGATAGGCGCGGTGGAAGTATCGTCGGAAAGCGGCCTCAATGCGCGATCCATCGCGGAGGAACTGCTGCAGGGGAACGGAAAGCGGAATAAATCAAGGCTCTCAAGCACTGACATGTTAGACTTACAGATGCCTCCGGCTTCCAGTGGCCAACAGGTGGCTGGGGCGGGATAGGGGCTCCCTCCCGAATGAAGCCGCAGTTCACCACCTTCTCCTTATCATAGTCAATTTCCTTGAGTATAATATCCGAGGTCTCCTGAGCACGCACCATCGTGGAGGCCACTACCTTGTCCCACTTAATGCCTAACTCGCAGAGTCGTTTGCCAGTGAACTCCGCCTGTTTGCGTCCTCGCTCTGTGAGATGGTGTGTCTCGTCTGAATCACCTGCGTCTAGGTACTCGCCATGTCGCACCAGGATTATGTGCCGCGGCTTTTTGGCTTTGGACTTCTCCAGGTCCGCGTTATAGCGATTTTCCTCCTCCGGTTGGCTGTTTCGGAGAGGACGGACCAAAGCCTTTGGGTCCCGGCAATCCCAGTTGCTGTCCCAAAGGGCCCACGGATCCACCGGCTTGTCGCTGTGCGTCCACGAGTTCTGCACCGCCGTCTGCGGGTCACGCAACCGCTGCAAATAAAATGCTGCCAGTCCGGCTCCTGTACCGCACACGAAGCTGGTCAACTTTCGCATGTTGTATCTGATCTTTCCTAGTTTTATATTATTTTATCTCTTTTTTTTCGATTTTTCCGCTGAATATGTAGTGTGGTATTTAAATACTGTACTTTTTATGGTGTTTTATATGCAAATCTTCTTAAGCAACAGTATTAAGACTTTATAGGACACGGACTTAAAAATTTTGCGATTCTTTACGGTTTTCTTTCAGCCAGAAAGAAAATCTACTATCTTCGAATTTTTTAAAAACCCTTAGAACCACATACATTCTTTATTACTATAAAAATATTTCTTTTTGAATTTAAATTATTTAAATACCAACAAACTATAAATAAATACTGAATACCGATAAATACTGGACCAGGCACTCCTTAAAAACAATCGATTGACGATCCGACAACGCCGTGATGTGAAAAATTTCAATTTTTTTCATTTCACACACACATACAAAAGCGACACACACGCCAACAGCGCAGTGAGAGGACCAAAAAAAAAGGTCGCAGAAAAACGCCCATTAAAGCCGACGGTTACGAAAAAGAATATCCGAAAAAGGATACGAATACGGGTAGGCACAACCACCGACGATCAACCACATCGACGACATTCCAGCGGAGCAGCAAAAATAAAAAGCAGCAGCAGAAGCAGCAAAGGCAGGGGGCACGAAGAAGAAAAGGAAGAAGCCGATTCGACGATTATCAATTATGAATTTTCTGGGTTTCGGCCAGTCAGCGGACATTGAGATAGTCTTCGATGGAGCGGAGCACAAGACAGCGGAAGTCAAGGGGGAGGACGGAAAGGTGGAGAAGATGCTGCTCTTCTACGACGGCGAAACGGTATCCGGCAAGGTGCGTCCTAAACCTCCGAAAGAGCTCCCCTATTCACATCATATAATTCACCCACTTTTTGTTGTCTTTGTACAGGTGAACGTAACTCTTAAGAAGCCGGGCAGCAAGCTTGAACACCAGGGTATCAAGATCGAGTTCATCGGCCAGATTGAGCTATTTTACGACCGCGGTAACCACCACGAGTTCAAATGCTTGGCGAAGGCCTTGGCTCGTCCGGGCGATCTCATCCAGAACAATAGTTATCCGTTCGACTTCCCCAATGTGGAGAAGCAATTTGAAGTCTACGCCGGGTCGAACGTGCGACTGCGGTACTTTCTGCGCGCCACCATTGTCCGCCGTATTAGCGACATCACCAAGGAGGTAGACATAGCCGTGCACACGCTTTGCAGCTACCCCGAGATGAACAATCCCATAAAAATGGAGGTGGGCATCGAGGACTGCCTGCACATCGAGTTCGAGTACAACAAGAGCAAGTACCACCTGCGGGACACAATCATCGGCAAAATCTACTTCCTGCTGGTGCGCATTAAGATCAAGCACATGGAGATCGCGATTCTTAAGAAGGAGAGCACGGGTACGGGTCCCACGATGTTTAACGACAACGAGACGATCGCGAAGTACGAGATCATGGACGGGGCGCCCGTCAAAGGCGAAAGCATACCCATCCGGGTCTTCCTCGCCGGATACAACCTTACGCCCACCATGCGTGACATCAATAAGAAGTTTTCGGTCAAATATTTCCTCAACCTAGTGCTGATGGATACCGAGGACAGGCGCTACTTCAAGCAACAGGAGATAACGCTGTGGCGCAAGGCGGATATCCCGCGCTACCATGGAGCCCAGCAGCAGCAACAGCAGCATCAGCAGCACCAACATGTCCCGCTGCATGCTCCGCCGCATCTGGTTAGCGGTCCGGCGGCGCCCACGGTGGCACACTCGCTTATTAGCTCGAGCACGGACAGCGGAGAGGCAGGCGGAGCTCCGGCACCACCGCCTGCGGGATCCGAGTCCAAGATGGGCCTGTTTACCAGGGAGAGCCCTAATCAGGAGTTCAGCCAGCAACAGATGGATTCGCCGCCACTGACGCCCACGCCAGCGACGGCTTCTGTATCAGCTTCAGTTCCCACACCAGCGACATCTGCTTCAGAACCAGCTCCCGAGCGGGGCATGGGCGATGGAGCCGCAGCGGCCACCACAAGTGCCTCGCCGGTTGCCATGCTGTCTAGTTCGCCGCCGCCATTGCTGCCAGCGTCGCCACTCTCCCGTTCCGATGGCGAAACTCTAGAGGAGACCCGCCCGGGTGACGAGCATGCCGGAGATGCTGCCGCGGCAGCTACGAAAAAGACCGGCGTCACGCCGCTGGCCGCTGATTGAGTGGAAAACTGGCGAGGATCTCCATCTCCGCGGGGGGACACGCAGCAAAAGCAAGAGCAGCACCTGCAGGCGGAACTATTACGCATATAATCGTATACAGCAGAAGAGGAGCAGGAGTAGAAGCAACAAATATTCATATATCTATTTTTTTAAAGTTAATTTAAAGTTGTTACAAAATGTTTTATTGAGGTTATGCGCATCATTTACCAAAAGCAAGCAAAACGCAAATGATAGTAACGAAAAACAAAACGAAACCTAGAAAAATGAAACAAACGTAAACAGGAGGCGAACTCTTAGCTATAACCAATCTCCAGACGTCGCCATTGGTATAAGTGCTAAAAAAAAAACGAAAGAAGATGCCGGAGGATCCCGAACCCCCCAATAACTAAATAAACCCTCTAGTATTTTGATGACGATTCCCTGTGCTCAGGGCGTTTGGAAAATATGATTTTTCAATTTGAAAATGTTAAAATTGCTTTCTAAAAGTGAGAATTCCCTGATCTTGAAATCAAAGTGTGCATTAAACTAAACAAACTCCAACACAGATAACAGATAAAAGCAACAAGCAGAAAAAACAAGACAAAAATTAAGTAATAAAGTTGTAGTCTATAGCGTACTAACAAATCTATGCTGGAAGGATTCAGTTAATGGCGATATATCCGAAGGATAAGAAGTGGAGACGACAAAAATATTACATGCCTTGCATATGTACATAACACAATTCATATACATTATATAAACGAAATATTGAAATATATACACAAATACAAACGCAATTAAACGAATAAATGCGATGTAGAATTAAATCTATGTTGTGCCGTATAGAGAGCGTTTCAAAGCTATCAGCGTTTAAAAAAGCCTTTGTTTAATTTACTGATGGTGCTGATGAAAAATGTAAACTTTTACATTTTGGCATCATTGTTATCTTATAATGATTGACATGATCATTTGTCATTAAAAATGACAATATGGGAAGATATAGATATCATTATCAGGATTAACAAGCTAAGAGCAACATTTCTCATTAAAATCAGGGCGCTCAAAAGTAACAAAACGAAACGCACTTTTTCAGTGGGAATTACGTAATTTACATACAATCTATATTTATTTCTCAATTAACTCAGGTGAGCTGTGTGAGCAGCTAATCCCACGCCTCCTTGATCTTCAGCTGCTTTAGTCGCTCCTCAATAGTCACGTGCGGTTTCATCTTGCGCAGGGTCTGCTCATCCGTCCACTTTGCCACCAGCTTCTCTCGTTTTTGCAGCTCCTTAGCGTGTCCGGAGGATTGTTCCTGGGAATATAAAGGGTCTGGTCAATCCGGACTATGCGCACATTTGCTAGGGCACACTCACCAGGGTCAGGTAGGGATGCCGAAGGAGTAGCATCACCTGCTCCTGGCGCTCGTACTCGCGGGTCAGTGTATCTATTGCCCGTTGGCTGACAGGCTTAACTAGGCGCCGCTTGCCCCGGAATATGTGACCCGGCACAGTCTTTTTGAAAAAGTTGATCAGCGTGAGATGCATTTTGGTTGCCTATTTCATAAAAACGAGCCAACAAATTACTTAAATATTTGTATGGCAATGTACAAGACGGTCCAGTGTGATAGTGTCTGTACTGAAATACCAAAGTGAACCACCGTTTGCGCTGCACAAGAGAAAGTCTAAGTGTCGCATTAATTCACGACGGCTTTTTCTGAAACTGCTAGATTTTTCATCTTTCAACCAAGAATATATTTTTTTTACTGAACCCAGGGTTTTTCGAACAAAAAGATTTAAATTTAGCACAGCGCTCACTGATTTCATGGTCCACTGTGGAGGGTATTTTCACGTCGCGCCTCCTGGCTACACTGTGGCGGCTGAAATCTAGCTAATATGTAGCCAAACTGGCAACACTAGACCGCGCACGTGTAAACTGATGACACCGGGAGGAAATCGCGTTAGCGTTTGAAAGCGAAAATGGGAGATGCCATAGAGGCATTGTTTATCAGCACGGGCAGCGAGGATAACACAACATGCAGCGTGCAGGACCTGCGCACAGGCACCGACCTGATGCGCTACAAGGGCGGTGGAGTTGCCCAGCACCACGGCCTAGCAATGATCGACCTTCACTACGTCTTCGCTGCGAACTCGACGAAGCCCCTGCTTCACGTCTGGCCAATCAACAAGCAGGAGCAGATGGCCGGTCTAAGGTTCGTGTTGCCCGGCAAGGTCAACGCCCTGGCCCTGACGCCCGACGGGAACTTTCTGGTAGCCGGCATCCAAGAGAACATCTACCTTTGGCACATGAACTCCGGTCGCATGCTGAACACATTGTCAAAGCACTACCAGGCGGTCACATGCCTTCGCTTTACGGACAACGGAGAGCACTTTATTAGCGGCGGAAAGGATGGAGCCGTGCTCGTCTGGGACCTGACCTTCTCGGCCGCGCCCTTGGATACCGGTGGCGGCAAGGACAGCACCGAGCCGCTGTACAGCTTTAACGATCATGGCCTGGCGGTCACAGATCTGTACTCGGGCATCGGCGGCATCCGCTCTTACCTGTACACCGTGTCGCTCGATCGCTGCTGCAAGGTGTACGACCTTTGTGGTGGTATCCTGCTACTCAGCGTTGTGTTTCCAGTGGCCCTGCACAGTGTAATCGTCAACAAGATGGAAACCAAGGTGTACGTGGGCTCCGGCGACGGCAAGGTATTTGCTTTCCACATGGAGAAGGCGCCGCGGATGAAGGTGAATTTTGCTCCTTACCTCCATTTTGTTCTTAGCCAACTAACTCTCTGGCTTCTCTAGGAATACCACTTGGAGGAGGAGGAGATTCAGGCCTTCGTGGGCCACACTGCCGGCAAAGCTATCACTTGTTTGGCTATAAACATGAGCGCCACTTCGCTGGTTTCCGGCGGCGAGGATAACCAGGTGTGTGTCTGGGACGTGGACAGTCGCCAACTGATCAAGAGCCTGCCTCTAAACGGCTCGGTGACAAACCTGCGCGTTCGGCTGCTCAGCCCGGCCGTTTTTCTACCGGAGCACAAGCAGCCACAATTATTCGCAGACAGCTTGAAGCGGATGATCACACCTCGGGACGTAAACGATGGCGTCATGCTTTTGATTGATCAAGATTATTCGAAAGGACGAAAGACACCGGAGGTGGACTATACCCAAAGTTATCCGGGCACTGATGAGGAGATACTACGCAAACTTATAGCGTCAATGAGTGCGGGGAAGGATGTGGATGAAGCAGACGAAGCCGACTCTGATGTGGAAGAAGATGAATCTGTATCGGATGAAGCTAAATCCGATGTGGAAGAAACAGATAAAGTTTCTTCAGAGGAATTTGAGGCTATGTCAGAAGACGACGACGGTGGTGATGATGAGGATGATGATAATGATGACATGCCCCAAACATCCAAGACAAATGGTATTGATGTGCAAGAGCTGCTGGCGGAGAATGCCCGGCTTAAGGCAGAGTCCAAACGGATGTTTGACATAATGTTCAGGTTCGTCTCCAACGGTGCCTCTGTCCAGGCGGATGCCACGGGAAAGTCAAAGCGGAAAAGGCCGCACCAGAAGTGATAAGTCTTTAAGCTGCCTTCAATTAAGTTTACTTAGGTTAGATCAACAACAAAGGCAATAGAATTTAGGTAAGACAAAAAGTGTAGAGAAAGGATAAACAACAATAAAAGCAATAGAATTTAGGTAAGACCAAAAGTGTATAGAAGGGATTTGGGCGGTAAAACAATAACATTGTGTGGCGTCTACTTGGACGCGTTCTCGCTGGCCGACTGTCCCATGTTGTCGTCGCCAGACTCTGATTCCTGAGCGGTGTCCTTCTCTTCTGCAAGCAGGCGACGGATCTCCCGGTTGGAGTTGAGTAGTTCCCGCAACTGGGACATGATGTCGTCCGTGCGCTGCTCCACGGCGTCTAGTGCGCAGCTCAGGGCGTCTAGGCTGTCGTTGACGTCCTCCATCTCTGCAGGGGTCATGCCATTAAAACCAATCCACTCGAGAATCGACGGGCCAGGAGAACTTACCTTGGAGATCCGCCTCCTGGACATTTGCGTTGCCGGAGTCGCCGGACGAGGAGGGATCGTGGTTGTTCTTGGGTGACATGTTCCCAGCACTTTTCCCCTGATTTTCCTCGTCTGTATTTTCCAGCTGGATTTATTGTCACGGGATAGTTATTAATGCTAGAGATGGACGATTTCAGCGTTGCAAGGGATCGATAGTTTGAGTTCCAATTGGGTAAAACTCTTGGTATAAATAATAGGGGGATTCCGAATTGTGGTTCAGGTTTGTTTTGTTCCTACCAAAGTAAACAAAACTGCTTGTTATTTCTGTAATTATTTCCTGGCCCGGAGAAGAAAAACTGTACTTCTTATCATCTTTAGCCATGTATACTCCCAAAACAACGGCTTCTGTTCATAAAAAAATTTGTCTCAGAAAACTGTGAAATTCGTAAAACTTATTGTGTAATTTGCGATTTTAAACACCAGGCGATCAGAAGCCTCCAGCAGGTATCTCACGAGCTAAGATTTTAACTAACCGTTGTTTTCTGATAAGCTGGTCTCTTATTGGTCGAATAGTGACTGGAAACAACAAAACGCAGCCACTTAGAAGGAAAAAAAACTACCAGCAGCTACTTGCGACGTATTTTGTTTGCTTGGTATTTGAAATCCAAGAGCTAATCACAACGACCGGCTTTTTCGTCCAAGTCGATGGAGTAAAGGCAGGATTTCGGCGGAATTCCTGGTCCAAATCCAAAAATTCTATTAAAGATGGAAATTGCCGTGTTTCTCGGAGTGCCCTTAACAAGAATTTCTACACTTAACCATTCCGGCCGTTCTCTAGACCGGCCACACTGCTGACCTGACATAACATTCGATACATCTAAATAAAATGTTTATTTAACAAATCGAAATGAACAAATGCTTTAAATACCAGCCCCGGATACTCTTTTCCCAACTCTCCGTGAGTCCCAAAAGATCGCCCGCATACTTGATTTATACATTTTGATTAAACACAGCTACCAAGATGCTATGCCGCTGCTACAACGGAGCCACCAGCTCCGCCACAAAAAAAGGCCGTTGTTGGGTTGACCCACAAACCGGATCCCAAGACGGTCAAGAGTGACTTTATTGGGCCGCCGGATGCAGAATCCAATCTCCGGCCGTATGTGCGGCACTTCGACGATAACGAGACGCGGCTGGCGCGGGATCTCCGTCTTAAACGGATCGATGTGGAGGCCTGGAATACGGATTTCTGGACGCGACATAATAAGCGCTTCTACGAGGTGAGAACCGGAGCTCTGAAACAGCTCCTGGGCGTGATTACTCTTCGACCTGTATTATTTGATGCCACTCTATTGCCATCCCTTTCGATTTCGGTTTGTTTGTAGGAGAAGGAAGACTTCATCCGCCTGCACAAGGAGAAAGGCAATACGGAGGTGTCCCCGGACCAGATGAGCCACTTCTACAAGACGTTCCTCGACAAGAACTGGCGCATTCACATGATGTACAACCTGTCCTGGTACCTGAAGAACTTCGATATCCTCACTCTGGCCGCCGCCGTCCAGCTCCAGAAGCTTCTTGCGCTGACCAGGCGGAGAAATTAGGTTCAAAATTAGTAGAGTCCTTATTATATATTCTTACTTTTTGTGTTCGCCATAAGTTGAAATAAAACATTGTGTGTGTAAAATGATGGCATAAAATTTACTTAAGTTTTAGAGGGGATGAAAAATACACGTTGCTCGGAGTCGGTTAATGTACTTAAGAGTAATCGCAAAACTAGTTAAATAAAATAAAATATATGTAGGTATTTATATCCTTATCAGTGTATATATTCAAAAATGGTTGTACATGTCGCGCGGGGAAGCTCCCCGCGCAGTATGCGAATATTGAAAGTAACCACTAAAATTACGATAATGGTAAACAGGGGGAAGGCACACACGCATAAAGTCAAGTTTGGGTTGGCCATCGGATGGGTCTGTTTCCTGACACTTATTGCAATGGTGATGGATGTGGAGATGGTGCTAAAAACAAAAAAAATACGATGCTCCTGCGGCTGTAAGGGGGATGATGGTGGTGGGGGTCAGAAATACATTACAGGGGCGTGGTCATGTCCTAGCATTAACATTTATATTCTCTCTATGCAGAACGATACCAATCAATCAATCAATCAATCAATTTAAACTATCAAACACTCCTCTCCACTCCCGCCCTTCCTCTCCACTCAGGAGCGATAAATGGATGCAGGGCACGAATTAGCTATTGTGGGCACATATACATAACTTACAGGTTCTATGCTCGCCAAGAGCATATCGGCATATATATATAATTGTATATATGTACACGGTCTCTTCTGCTTAGCGAATCTATCTATTTGATCAGATATAACAATTCCTGTTCCTGTTCACTGGGCGCGACGCGCTCGCCGCCGCTTCTTGCGCTTTCTTTGGTCCAACGGACTGCTATCCGAAGGAGGAGCGGGCTCCTCCCGCCTCTAGTTCATCCACTTGCGGCAGTTGGGAGCCCCGCAGGCACACGGTATCTTGTGCGACTCGTCCTCGATGTCAAACTTGTAGTCGTACGAGAGCTGTGATAAAATCGTTGGGTTACCTTGCCGTTTCATCGAATATCAAAACTAACCTCCTCGCCGCGGTAGATTTTCCGTTTGGCGAATATTATGATCCGCACGTCGCGATCCACTTCCACGATCTCCGTCACGCAGTTGGGATTGCACGAGTGGTTAATGTAGCGCGCCAGGCCACCGCTCAAAGTGGCGTCTACTACGCGGTCCTCGTCCAGCCGAAACATGTAGATGCCGCGGTTCTGTAAGTTCGAAGTTGAAGTTGGAGTTAGTCCAAGTACCAGGTGCGGCCTTAAAAGGGTATCAAAATCACCTTTGACTCGTACTGCTTCTCCCGAATCTCGGAGACCTCGGTGCGGATAACCTCGCCGATGTATTCGATAATCATGGTGTGCTTCTCGATGTCCCGGGCGGCGTACAGGCCCAGACCCTGGATCTTGGACCTAAAAGGCGAGGAGGAGTTAAGCTGTGAGTGGGTGTGGACGTGGGTACGCGGTGCACACAAGTAGCTGACCTGGCCAGGTAGACGTTGTTGCGCCACTCCTGCTTCATCTTCTTGTACTGGGAGCTCTTCGAATGGACGAACTGCTTGCTGTACGGACAAGCCACCTCCCCGGCGATCGCCGCCGAGTTGGCCATCCGCTGGGTGCTGCAGCTGCCAGCAGTGCGCTGCGTGTGCGGCTTGCGCCAGACGAGCAGCTGCCGCTGCTTGGGCTCCGTACGCGCCGCCCCCGAGGGATTGATGGCCAGCGGGAACTCGAGCAGCGGGTTGCGGCCGTACTTGAAGCGGTAGTCGGTGAGCGTCTCGATGCCCGGCAGGCTCTCCAGGATGCGCACGATGGCCGGCTCGGTCAGGCCGAAGAGGTCCTCGCCGCTGATGTGCTGCGGGAACAGCTGCAGCCACTTGTGCACCTTCCGCAGCCGCGTGATCGGCTGCAGGATCTGCTGCCACACCGCCGAGGGCGAGCTGTCACGGAACTCGCGCTCCGGCTCCTTGTCGCCGGCATCCTGCACCAGGATGCGGAACTCGGGCTTGCAGCTGGCCTCTGCGATGCTGCAGATGTAGCGGCACCTGCGGTTCGGTCGTCGCACGCACCAGTAGAAGCGACTCTGTGGAGTGGGATTGTGATTACGATTAGGGGCCATCCATTCCGCCATTTCCATGGTTGAAGTCCTACTACTTACCACCTTGTACCCAATGGGGTAGATGTAGTGCGGCGTGTGGAAGGCCTCCAGCTGGTGGGGCAGCAGCTGACCCACGTTCAGGAACGTCATGTTGCCCACGCGGAGCAGGTTGCTCAGCTCCGAGTAGTGCATCACGGTGGCCACCTGCCGGTTCTCATCCCGGTCGACAAACACCCGCCGGTGGACGACCAGCGAGCTGAGCTCGTTCTCAGCCGCAGATCCTCCCGCTCCTCCGCCGCCGCCGGCCGTGGCGCCCGCTCCAATGGCGATGCCCGAGTGGGCGTGGCCGTGGGCGCTGCAGTGGACGGACTTGTTCTTGTAGAAGACGCACTCCTCGCGGATGGCGCAGGGCAGGTGGTAGAGGCTGTTGCAGCGCGACTTAAAGCACTTGATGGTGGCGCCCAGCTGGTGGCAGGCGCTGCACGCCTGGTTCAGTCCCGCCTGCAGAGCCGTCTGGAAGTTCATCAGCGCGCCGGAAACCGTCTCGTACACGCCGTTCGACCACAAGGCGCAGTTGAGGTGCACCTGACGACGATAGATTAGGGGTTAAATAGAGAACTGGCTGCCATACACACACACACACACACACACACACAACCGGCCTGGATCCGCAGGCCCACTCACCCATTTGTCCACGTCGAAGTTGAGCAGGCGCGAGGGTCCATCCGCCTGGCCGTCGCCGCGCTGGTTGCAGAACACGCACTGCCGTGTGTCCTCCAACTGCAGCCCACTGGCCTCCGTCTCCCACACCGTGTTGTTGGCCGGTCCCGTCCCTGTTCCGGCCGCTCCCGCTCCCGCTGCTCCCTCGAACTCCACCTTGGTGGCCGTCGACTCCGCGGCGAAGCAGTCGGCGCTGAAGCACTTGACGATGCACTTGCGCTGCGCGGGCAAGCTGGCGGGCGTGCCGGGCGCACCCTGCTTCTGGTCCGACCCCTCCTCCTCCGGCTCCTGCTTGACCACCGTTTCCGCGAGGGCCGCGCTGCAGGAGCCGCCGGGCGAGTTGTCCGCGGAGGACGAGACGGCAGCGGAGCCTCCCGCCGGCTGGAGCAGCAGACTGGCCGCCTCCGCCTGGCCCTCCTTGCCGCTCCACTTGAAGCGCGCGAAGCAGGCGCGGTCGCAGAAGTAGACGAACGGCGGGGCCACCGACTTGCGGGGCAGCATGGCCATCAGCTGGGCCAGCCGGGGCAGGTGCTCCTCCAGCGCGGGGACGCTGTGACGCGGCACTCGCAGCCCGCTGGCGGGGACCACGCTGCCACAGCTGCGGCACAGCTTGCGGCGTCCGTTGAGAATCTTCCGCAGGTGGCTGTGGCTCACGGTGGCCAGCGGCCGCTTGAAGTCGTCCCGGAGCTTCTCGTCGTCCTGGTCCATCGCCTGCTCCTCTGCCTTGTCGCCCGCCTTGTTGTCCTCGATGATCTTGCAGGTGAGGGCGGGCGCCAGGTGCAGCAGATTGGCCAGGTCCCGCAGCACGCCGGCGATGTTCTCCGAGGCTGAGGCGGGCAATGCCAGTATCACGTTTTGGTTCTTCTGCTGGTAGTTGTTGTTGTTGTTGTGGCTGCTGCTGCTCCCCAGCTCCAGCTGCTGGCTCTTGCGCAGCTCCTCGCCGCAGGACCGGAGCAGCGGCGAGACGGGCACCCGCATGGTGAGCGGGTCCTCCGGCAGCGCCACCGGCGACATCCGACCGTGGCACCGACTGTTCCCGTTGAGCAGTATCAGCCCCGGGTAGCGCGTGAGTCTGGGGTAGGCCGCCCACGCGGCCACGCCCTCGCTCTCCACCAGGTCTACGGTCTCCAGGTTGCTGTCCTTCACGGCGCCAATGTGCCTCACCAGACGCTCCCGGGGATTGCGCTCCATGTGCGTGGAGAACTCCTGGTCGTAGAAATCGTTTTGTATGCTGGACATCGGCAGCGTCCTTTCGGCTCCCGGCGACACGGACGGCGAGGGCGAACGGGTGGCAGTGGTTCCCCCTGCCAAGCCGCCGCTTCCTCCGAAGCGCTCGCTGTCGTACAGCGAGGGAATCCCCGGCAGACGCACTCGTCCGAAGCGGCCGAAGATGGCGCCGTCGCAGTCCTCCAGGCCCTCCAAGTGCCTACTGAGCGCCCAGCCGCGGGATCCCAGAGTGCCGCCCTTCAGTTTGCCACCGCCAGCCGAGGAAGATCCGCTGCCGGAGGCCGTGGAGCCGCCGGAGGAGGGCGATCCCCCGCCCGACGCCTCGTTGCTTCCGAAGAGGAGGTGAAAGTTGCGGTTCAGGTGCGGCTCCAGCACCTGCAGCGGCTGCATCTGGCGGATGTGGGTCAGCAGCTTTTCGGTAAATGCATCGTGATCCTCCTCGACCTTGGAGAACTTGCGCACCCGCTTCTTGAGCATGGGCGACGAGCCGGCTCCGGATCCCACGCCTCCGAGAACCACGCCGCCCTGACCGCCGCTGGAGATCACGTGGCCAGTGCCCGGAGTCGCGCCCTGGATGTATTGCGTGCCCGGCGGCATCCCTGCCAGCTGGACCATTGCGCCAGCTGGTAGCGTGCCCGTCAGATCCTTGAGAGCTCCCGCCGCGTGTCCCGCGTTCAGGTTCGTTCGCCGCGGCTTCTGCACCTCCCTCTTGCGGCGCTTGCGCTGGTCACCCGCCTTCGGTTCCATCGTGAGCACGGCACTCTGGCCGGGAATCGCGACTGGAACCGGCACTGTCGGCGGCTGCTGAGGTTGCTGCTGCTGCTGCTGTTGCTGTTGTGGATGCCCCGACAGATGGATCTGGTGTTGCTGCTGCGCCTGCAGATGCATGGGCATCTGTCCTCCAGACAGCTGCCCGGTCAGCTGCCCCTGCATGGCCGCCTGCATCTGCGCCTGCATCTGCACCTGGCCCTGGCTCTGGCCCGGAGCTGGCTGCGCCTCGCCAGGCGCCCCGGTCCCAGGCTTCTTCACATAGCTGGCAATCGCCGAGATGAGTTGCACCTTGTCGGGAGCAGCTTGGTTGGCCGGAGTGGCGGGCAGAGCGGCGCTGGCGGGCATCTCAACCTGTTGCTGCTGCTGCAGCTGCAGCTGCTTCTCGTCCAGCTGCGGGTGCATGGGCAGCTTGCGCTTCTGCGCCTCCCCGGGCTTGAACGGTATCTTGGTGGCGCCCACCCCCACCTCTATGTGGTTGCTATTGCTCCACTGCGGGGCCGCGACTGCTCCGCCCGCCACGGCGGCACCCTGCTCCGGGTGGGGCGGCGGTTCCGCCTGCTCCGGCATGGACTCCTCGCCCTGCTCCATGGGCAGCGACATGGCCACCGCCTTGGGCTTCATCTGCAGCTCCTTGGGCGCCGTCTGCTTCGTGGAAATGGATATGGTCACGTTCGATACGGGCGCAGTGGCCAGTTCGTAGGGCGGCGGAGGCAGCAGTTCGGCCGGCTTGGCAGCGGCTTCCGCCAGTATCTTGTTGGTGGCCACGGGCCCCGAGATGAATGACGTCTCCTTGGACACGATCTGCACGGTTTGCTTCACTTGGTGGGGGGTCGCTTGCTGCTGCGCTTGCTGCGATTGGAGTGCCTGCTGCTGCTGTTGCTGCTGCGGAGGCGGTGGAGGGGGTGGCGCCTGGTGTTGAATTTGGTTGTGGTTTTGATTCTGATTCTGATTCTGGTTGGTTGCACCCACGGCGGGCTGTTCGGTTTTCTGATCCGGGTTCGGTTCCCCACTTGATCCGGGTGTGCTGATGGCGACTGCCGTGACTGGAGTGCCTGTCGACGAGGCGGTGGCCACCTGTTGGCCGTTCCCGCCACTGGCCACCGTGGTGGTGGTGGTGGACGTGGCCACGGAGGCACCGCTGCTGCTGCTGCTACTGCTGCTGTTGCCGGTCGCCTGAGTGGCAGCGGGCACTGGCGGGATCACAGGACGCGCCAGCTGATCCTCCAGACTTCTCACCTGCCCCATGCTGGGCGCCCGCACGTTGATGACCTTGCGGGCGGAGAGCGGGGCCGTCGTCGGGGCGGAGCCAACGTGGGCCGAGGCGATGCTGATCGGGCTCAGGCTGTGGCTACTGCTCTTGTTCTGGAGCAGCTGCTTCAGCAGGGCGTTGTTCGAGTCCTCCGCGCCCGAGCGCTGATTGTTGGTCGCTGCGGGCGTGCCGCTCGCCGGGGGTTGGGCGTGCTGGGATTGGAGGCGGTCGAAGTAGGAGCAACCGGAACCGAAACCGGAACCGCCTGGACCTGACCGCCGGCCTGACTCTGCACCTGCCCAATGGGCGTCATCGTGGTGCTGGCGTTCAAGCGCTTCTCCGGCGTGCTCATCTCGCTGCTTCGTTCCTGTTCGCCGGACGGCGCCGCAGCCGAATCCTTCGCGGCCGCCTCCTGCTTGACCAGTAGCTTCGCTTTCGTCTCGCCGACAATCTCCTCGAGCTTAGCCGCTTCCGGGGCCAAGGTCACGCTGAGTTTGGTGGGCGTGGTGGCGGCCACCGTGGTCAGCTTCAGCTGCAACGAAGCCGCCCCCGAGGAAGCCAATCCCGGGGTCGCAGGGGAGCCACCCTTGTCAGCACTCGAGTCCTGGACCAGGGCGTGGTGCATCTGCAGCGCCGACTGGCTGGCCAGCGTGGTGGTCGTGATCATCTTCGGCTTCTGCTGGGCCATGGTCGTCTTGGACAGCACCAGGGATATGTTTTTGTTCTGAATGGAGATGATGGGTCGCGAGCCCATCATCGGGTTGTTGATGCAGATTGTGCCCGCCGATACGGACACGGTGGAGGTGGTGGCCTGGTCCGAGCCACTCCCCGAGGCCGGCGTCATGGTCAGCGTCACCGGAGTGGCTGGTCCACTGCCGACGGCGGAGCTCGTTTGGTTTTGGGAGGCTTGCGAGTGCTGCTGCTTAAAGATGTTGAAGCTGGTCGGGCAATTGAGCGCGCCCTTGTCGAGCGGCTTGATCACCACGCTGTTTTTGTTGCCGAACTCCTCGGAGCCGCCGCCCGCCGCCTCCTGGGACTTGCTCTTGTTCAGAATCTTCTGCAGGTTCTCTGTATAAGCGGTGATCTTTCGAGGCGCCGGGGCATCCTCCTCGGTGTGGGACGCTCCTGCAACAGAGGTGGCGTCCTGGACCATGGCGTACGTCTGGCTGGGATTGGTGGTGGTAATGGTCACTATGCTGCCGGTGGGCGGGGCCAGTCCGCCGCCGCTGGTCACCTGCAGCTGCTGCTGCTGCAGCTGCAGCGACATCTTCTTGCTGACCATCTTGGTCGCCACGATCTTGGTGGTCGCCGGCTTGATCTGCAGTCCAGAGAACGAGACTATGGTGCCGGGGTTCTTGGGCACGCGCTTGATCAGCTTGGTGAAGTGGTGTGCGTTCGGATGGGCGTGCGTATGGACACCGGGATGGTGTACTTGCTGACCTCCGCCCGACTGCGCGGCGCTCATCACTGTGCTCATCTGACCGCCTGACTGCAGCAGCTGCTTGCTCTCCACAATAGTGGCTCCTCCGGCGGTGGCCGGTCCACTGGCGTTGATCAGCGGCTTCAGCAGCGGCACCGATATCGTCTTGTTACCGATCGACACCTTGGCCGTCGTCTGCGTGACCTCCGACAGCTTCTTGGCGTTGACCACAAGCTGGGTCTTCACCTTAGGGTGCAGGTTCATCCGGTTCAGCAGCGTGGTGGTTGGCGTTTGGCTTCCCGTGGCCGTGGTGTTGAAGATGTTGTAGTTAGCGTGGCCGGTTTTCTGCGTAAGGATGGTGGTAGTGCCGGCTCCACCGGCTCCTGTGGCCCCATTGTTGGTGTTCAAAATTATGGTAGAAGTGCCTCCGATGGGCGTTCCCGTAGAGGTGACCGCTCCCGTGGCGTTTGCCACGGCCACAGCCGTATCGGCGCCGGCGGCTGGCATTAGCACGAAGTCGAGATCCTCCGCCTTGCCGGGATTGTCGGCGTGTTCCGACGACAGGCCGCTGGGCTCGATGGAGATGATGGAGGCGGTTGAGGAGGAGGACGAGGCCGACGAGGAGGCGCCCTCCTTTTTTGGTAAAGCTAGCGAAGGCTGCATATCGGGGGGAAGGGTTAGGTAGACTGTATCTTTTGGCAAGCCGTCAAAGTACTCACTTTGCTTGTCCGCATCCTCCGCTTTGATGGCAGCCATCTCGGCGCCGGAGCTAAAGTTGCACACTATGATCTGCTGGTCGCGGGCGTCCCACTGGGTTTCCTCTGACTGCGATTCCTGCGGATCCGAAGCTCCCTTTATCTGCGCTTTCACCTGCTGGCCACCAGCTCGTTGGTACAAAAGCTGCTGCTGCTGCGGGGCGGGCGACGCTTTGGCGGGCAAACTGGGCGCTGGCGTTCCGAGGAGCAGTTCCGTCTTTGCCTTCTTGCGCGTGGGGTCCTCCGCCGTAGCTGCCGGGTCGTCGGCGCCGCTGCGCTTCTGCAGACTGACCGCACTAAAGGCTGCGGCAGCCGCCACGGATGCTACACGTTCGGGTTTCGCCTTCTCGGCGGCACCAAGCGATGTTGTCACCTTCGGTATATTCATAACAAATACACTAGCGGAAACGCTGGACGCGGGATGCGATGCGCTGCGATTCGTGGGACGGGAAAGGCGGCGGTCTAGCTAGCTAGGGCTCGCGCGGCCTGCTTTTTTTTTTAGCGAGCGAAAACATGCACGATTTTGTCAAAAAAATTTTTTATTTTCGTGTATGCAGTACAGTGTGCCCGTGGTGCTGACGATTCGGTTCGTTTAAAAATACCATGACACACTGGTAAAACATACTAGAAAATTAGCTAATATACTGAAAAAAGCGAAAGCCACATTGAAGAATACTGTAGGGTGGACGACCCCGCTATTGTAAATGAATCCGGCAACGCTGCGGATTGGAGGTGGACTTAACATCGTTCTTTGCGGTGTTTTTATACGCAATCTTTTATGTTTCCCATCTCTATTATTGATGCAACACATTTGACTTATAAAATAAGTGGAAATATCAATAAGTCTTAGTGAAACCAGCCATGCAGAGTCTTAAATCAGTTACACAGCTTTTCAAGCAATCCCTGTCAGGTGGGAGAACGGTTTCCTATTTACCTAAACACACTTCAACAGACTTTCCGTAACTTTCAGCGAGCAGCATAGCAACCGTGAACACAGCCGGCCTTAAATACTTCGCCCCGCCCATCAAATACCAAAGTAAGTAACATCCCTTGGTCGATAAGCCCACAATAACATGATGTCCGGCAACCCGCAGATGTGGAGCAGCCCGAGCGTCCCAAGCTAAGAATCATGGAGCGCCAGCCGCAGCTTCCGCCGAACATCCGTCCGCCCAAGATGCAGAAGCGCCTGCGATATATGCGCGGCCCAGAGACGGTTCACAACACCTTGCTCCATAAGCAATACGCCATTGTGGCAACCGGCGGAGGCCGTCTGCGCTGGGGCCACTACGAGATGATGCGCCTGACGATCGGACGCAAAATGAACGTGAACACCATGTTCGCAACCTGGCGCGTTCCTGCCCCCTGGCAGCCAATCACCAAGAAAGGTCAGGGCCAGCGTATGGGAGGCGGAAAGGGGGCCATTGACCACTACGTGACTCCCATCAAGGCCGGACGCGTCATCGTCGAGATTGCCGGCCGGTGCGAGTTCGTCGAGGTCAAACAGTTTCTGCAGCAGGTAACCAATCAGTTGCCGTTTCAGGCCACCGTCGTCTCCCAGGAGATGCTGGACAAGCAGCGGGCAGCTGAGGAGGAGCACGCCCACCAGAACGAGAATCCCTTCACCATGAAGTACGTGATCCAGAATAACCTCAACGGGTGCCATCGGTGGCTTTCGCCCGTCGATCACAAGTGGTTTGGCAAACACTTGTAATAGAATAGAATATCTATTCCCAATAAACAACGCAATTCTCTTTACACGTTTTTCGTTGTTTTCTCTAAGTTATAAAACAAGAACCAAAAAACAAACTATAGCTAAAATTAAAAGTTTGACTTTGAAGTGAAGTTTTGATTTTTGACATGCTTGGATGTTGGATAAGTTTTCGATTTATGGGTTGGTTTTATTTATAATTTTAAGCTATCTGGCTGAAAGTCGTTGTTTTTTTTTTATCATATCGAGTCGTATTTTTCATCTTAAAATAAATAACTTATTTATTTACTGTCTAATTCATGTACTCACTGCGAAAAAACCCTGGTACACTGCAATCTTTCGTCTTCTTGAAGTAAGATAGTAACTGCAACCACTTTACACTTTACCCTGAAATCAAATAAGAAACAAAAAATAAAATAAGTAATTTGTACAGATAGTAATAGTTAGTATTAATTTGTTAGTAAAAAAGATATTTACCTCTTGGGGTTTTTGATTCACTGCATCTTGAAATTCACTCCAAATAGGAAGGTTTAGTCATCACCTGTAATGAAAAGAAGGATTTCAAAACATTAGTTCAATTATTTAATACAAATTGATTATTTAAGAAATACATACCCCAATGAGTTGATGCACTACATTCTGGAGTGGAGTTCAATGGAAGACCTCGCCAGTAAACCTTGATCTTGCAGCCTGTTCTCCAGTCCATTTTGGTAGTATCAGCATATATCTCCGGTAACCGCATTCTTACAACTATTCTTACTATATATATTAATATTATATGTCCCTACTTGTTTTAAATGATTAATTGTGTTTGATTTTCATATACTTCAAGTTTAATATTTGATAGTATACAACTTTTAAATTTCTTTTATGTTTTTGAATACTCTCAGATCTTTATCTGTTGCTTTTAAATTCTTTGTCAAAATATATCTGATATCTTAAAATAAATAACTTAATTATTTACTGTCTAATTCATGTACTCACTGCGAAAAATCCTTGGTGCACTGCAATCTTTCGTCTTCTTGAAGTAAGATAATAACTGCAACCACTTTATCCGCAACATTTACACTTTACACTTTACCCTGAAATTAAATAAGAAACAAAAAATAAAATAAGTAATTTTAAAAATAATAATGGTCAGTATTAATTTGTTAGTAAAAAGGTATTTACCTTTTTGGGTTTTTGATTCACTGCATCTTGAAGTTCACTCCAAGTAGAAAAGTATAGTCATCACCTGTAACGAAAAGAAGGATTCAAAATATTAGTTAAATTATTTTATACAAATTAATTATTATAAAAATACACACCACAACGAGTTGATGCACTGCATCCTGGAGTGAAGTTCAATAGGATAATCACTACAACCACTTTATCCGCAACATTTACACTTCACCCTGAAATTAAATAAAAAAAAATATACAATAAATAATTTGTTAAATAATAAAAGCTGGAATTAATTTGTTAGTAAGAAAGGTATTTACCTCTTTGGGTTTTTGATTCACTGCATCTTGAGTTCACTCCAAGTAAAACGTTATAGCCATCACCTGTAATGAAAAGAAGAATTTCAAACTATTAGCTAAATTATTTAAACATGAAAAAAAGGATTTCAAAATATCAGTTAAAATATTTAATACAAACTAATTATTTAAGAAATACATACCCCAATGAGTTGATGCACTGCATCCAGGAGTGAAGTTCAATAGAAGATCTCGTCATTAATCCTTGATCTTGCAGCCTGTTCTCCAGTCCATTTTGGTGGTATCAGCATATATCTCCGGTAACCGCATTCTTACAACTATTCTTACTATATATATTATTATAATATGACCCTAGTTGTTTTAGATAACTAATTGTGTTTGATATAGGAGTACTTCAAGTTCATTATTTGAACAAAATCACCTGTTGAATTTCTTTCTTATTGTTCTTGAATAATTTCAGATCTTTATCTGTTGCTCTTGATTGATCTTAAAATTAATAACTTAATTATTTACTGTCTAATTGATGTACTCACTGCGAAAAAAAACTTGGTGCACTGCATCCTAATATTCAACTCCAAGTTACAAGTAAGATGGTGTCACCAATTATTTTCTGCAACCAGCCAAACACACAACCAAAAACCTGAAATAAAATAAAATAATATTTAATTAAATAATTGCATTACATTTACAAAAGACCACGTCATCACTTAATTAAAAAAAAACTGCTACCCACCTCTTCGGGTTTTGATGCACTGCATCCTGGAGTCCACTTCATGCAGGAAGGTATCCGCCACTTTCAAGTTCATGCCAAGTCAGGCTATGATGCACTGCATCCGGGAGTGGACTCCAGTAGGAGGAGTCGACCCATGATGCACTGCATCCGGGAGTGGACTCCAGTAGGGGGAGTCGACCCATGATGCACTGCATCCGGGAGTGGACTCCAGTATGAGGAGTCGACCCATGATGCACTGCATCCGGGTGTGGACTCCAGTAGGAGGAGGCGACTCATGATGCACTGCATCCGGGAGTGGACTCGAATATATCGAAGCTCCATTTACAATTGCAGATTCAGTTTATGGATCTACTTTTTATATAGCAACAGGATTCCATGGAATTCATGTACTAATTGGAACAACTTTTTTATTAGTATGTTTATTACGGCATTTAAATAATCATTTTTCAAAAAGTCATCATTTTGGATTTGAAGCAGCTGGCAAACAAAACTTCGAAGTAGGTGAATCCACAGCAGCGCTCTGTGGAATCGGTCAGCTGATCAGCTTAAATTTGGGCAGGTTAGTAATGAGCGATTTTTGGCCCAATTTTCATTATTTTTTGCCAAAAAATTTTAACACTTTCAGGCGAGGAAGTCGATTCTGAATTTTATTACGAATTCTGGGTGTATGAAAAAATGGCTTTCTTAGAAAATGGCTTAAATCTAGCACTTGAAAGCCCATACTTACTTCTTGTTATCTTCGGCTTTCCACCTTTCAACAAATAACAAACACATATCTGAAGGGAAATGTACGAGTTCTATTGCAAACATTTGTTTAATTTTCCATTTCGTTTATGTGGATAATATGTAATGCATCATATAATATGTTTTTCTTGCCGTTGCTTTCGTATTATAATTAATATATAATATTATGCATGTATGCGTGTGTGTATATGTGTCGAGGGGGTGTGAACAATAGCCTTCTTCCACGGGCCTCAGTGGCCTTCGCCTTTCTTGTGCCTCAGCATCTCTCCTCTCCTTTTCCTTTGTCAATTAAAATCAACACTTTTCGTTGATCATGTCAAGTATCGGTGATCAGGGATCAGTGATCAGTGATCGCTCCATCTCTCAGTTCATGAAGTCGCACCCGGTGGAAGAGGGCTATATTAATAGGACGGGGGATTCGTGTGTGTTTTGTGTTGTTTTCTGTTGGGTCGAATAAAATCTCGACCCTTACCCTTAGCTCGGCTCGTCTAACAGTCGGTATCGTACCAGGCAGCCAGATTGTTGTTGTCATTGGGTGGCGTCGGCATGGCGTCCAAATCAAAGTTCAAAGCACCGGCATCTATCTCTCCCACATCCATGTCCATGGAATAAGGCGATGTAGGTGCGCCGCTGGGCGGGATGGCGCCGATGTTGCCAGCGCCGCCGCCAGCTCCGCCCACCGCTCCACCATTGCCGGCAGCAGCGCCGCCGCCCACGGGGCTGCTGATCTCCAGACCCTGCATCGAATCTATTGGTAGAGTATCATATCCTGCGAACAAACAAAAAGGGGAACAAAACAAGGTCGAGAGTTCTGATTAGTGAACAGTATTCATAAGGTAGGGCATCAACTTGCACATGGTGGGCAATGCAGTCCTGCACAAGTGGATTCATAATTTCTCGCTGGAATCGGTTACACATTTGAGCTATCCACAAAATTTAATAAACATCAAACAATTAACTTAAATCGCACTGAATAGTATATAGTATATCATGCAGATTTAATAGTGTTGTTTAATTTTTGTCCATATTTTCAAATCTTTATTACTTATGGCCACTTCATCGGCGCGTCAAAAGGGTAAACACCAGTTTAAACGAAACGTGAATTTCACTCATACACGACCGCCTTTTTAAATTAACCTAAAGTATTTAACAACATAGATCGGTCGTTAAATGCCGCTTAGTCTAAAACTAAATACGACACAAAGATATGTTGAATTCTGGTTGACCTCCTTCTTAAAATCTGCATGCACGCACGTCTTACAAACTAAAATTATGTACACGATAAGTGACTAGTTCTATGCGATAATCGCAGGCTACGTGTCATGCAAACTGAAATGAAATGCTCTAAACTTCATTACTCCTCTTTTTCCGAAGATGGACAGTTTGAATTTTAAATGCATTCTAAAAAAACTAAACGCAAGAAATGTATACAAAAGGATAATTATTAAAAATTATTGATAAAAAGTTTATGTTGATTTATCCCACGCGGTCCAACCGATGATAAAATGTCTTTAAATGGTTGTAGTATACAAAAGATAAATGAACTCTTCTGGCAGTGGTATCCTTCCTCTACGCAATTGCTCCTTGTTGTTGCTAGTGGATGTTTATTTATAGGTGTTCTGTGTTTGTGTTTGTGGTGCTGATAACTACGTGTAAGGTCAATAGTTTGTTCGTTTAAGGCCCACAAGGACAGGTACTTCTTTTCTCCTCTAATCCATTAAGACAGCAATGAAGGGGTTACCAAAGGGTATTCTTGTCTGTTTAACGTTAATTTATGCAACTGGCGCCTAACGAAGTATGTTATCCTGATAAACGTTTCTTTAAGGGGAAAAATACAATTAGAAAGCCTGAAATGAGGGCTATCTTTGGGAGTGGATTGCAAGTAGGGTGTTAAATGAATCTTAGCGATTCTTTTTGCATGTTATTAGGTAATTATTGAGCAATAAAAATCAGTCAAGTTTTTTGAAAAATATTGTAATTAAGCCCATTTATGATCAATAATGTGGAGTCGTGTTTTTAGGGAAGGACTTTGCGCCGTGCAGTCTCCAGGTCCAGGATCACGACTTAAACAAAAAACAGCAACTGGGCTTTA